CATTGTGTTGGCAGCACGTGAGCTCCTCAAGGAACGCGGAGTTCGCTCTGCTCGGGCTGCGGAGTGGCAAAAAGAAGGCGGCCTGCTCTACTTCCGTGGCAAGCTGGTGGTTCCACGCAACAACGACCTCCGCCGACGCATCCTCGAGCAGCACCACGACACCCGCGTCGCAGGGCATGCCGGCCGCTTCAAGACGTTGGAGCTGATCTCTCGGAACTACTGGTGGCCCCAGTTGTCTCGACACGTCGGCCGGTATGTGGCCACCTGCGACCTGTGCTGCCGAACCAAGGCGCTCCGCCAACTCCCAATCGGGGAACTCCATCCCACGGAGGTCCCTTCGGAGCGCTGGGAAGCGGTGTCGGTTGACTTCATTGTGCATCTGCCAGACACTCACGGGTATGATGCTATCATGGTCGTTGTTGACATGCTTGGGAAGCGCAGCCACTTTATAGAGTGCCACACCCGGCTCTCCGGTGAAGGTGCCGCCAGGCTTTTCTACAAGAACGTCTGGCGCCACCATGGGCTGCCGTCTAAGTATGTCTCTGACCGCGGCTCCCAGTTCATCGCAGAGTTCACGCAGGAGCTGTGGAAACTCGTTGGGGTCTCATCGGCAATGTCTACCGCTTGGCATCCACAGACGGACGGCCAGACCGAGCGTGTGAACCAGGAGCTTGAGCAGTTCCTCCGGATCTTCACCAGCTACAACCAGGACGATTGGGACGAGCTGCTTCCCGCTGCAGAGTTTGCCTACAACAACCATATTCACTCATCCACGCAGCAGGTCCCGTTCATGACAGATACCGGTCGACTCCCTCGTATGGGCTTTGAACCGAATGGACTACGCTCAGCCGTGAACGAGTCGGCAAAGGACTTCCGCGACCGCATCGCGTCTGGAGTGGCAGAAGCCAAGTCGGCACTGGTGAAGGCAAAGGATGAGTACAAGCAGTACTACGACCGCCGGAGGGTCTCAGCTCCAGACATCAAGGTCGGAGATCGAGTCTGGCTTGACGCTTCTGACATAGCAACAACGCACCCGTCCCTCAAACTCTCTCACCGACGGCTGGGTCCCTTCAAAGTCACCCAGGTTGTTGGGCACGGCGCTTACAAGCTTGACCTCCCTCGCCGCCTCTCTGGTCTTCACCCGGTCTTCCCCATTGTCAAGCTGCAGCTCGTTGAGGACGACCCGTTCCCAACACGCCCGGCTCGCGAGGAGCCGCCACCCGTCATGGGCCAAGGAGCTGGCGAGGAGTGGGAAGTCGAAGAGGTCCTGGACGCCAAGATGCGCTACTGGAGCATTTGGTACTTCGTGCGGTGGAAGGGCTATGATTCGTCGCACGACCAGTGGGTTAAGCACTCTGATATCTTCGCAGAGGACGCTATAGCGGCATTCTACCGCAAACACCCCAACAAGCCACGCATCATTGCTGCCGCCATCTTCGACTCCCTTCCGTTCCAGCACCCCTCTGCCACCATCCGCACGTTGCGTCGAGGCGCCGCAATCCAAGGGGGGGGTGATGTCAGGGGAACCCCCGCTTCGGACCGCTCTGCCTTCGATCAGGCATGTGATCGTGCTCGCGTGACCTGTAAGCTGTCACACACCGCGGCCCGGACTGCCGTGCCAAGCGCTTCTCTCTGATGGGCACATGGTCAGCTGTCCCATCGTTCCCACTGTCTCGGTTTCCTATTGTTCTCCAATGGCCATTGTACTTATTGTTCCCATTGTTCTTTGTTTGTCGCTGCGCGCTCTATTGTTCTTGTATCATATAAATAATGGCGCCTGGCAAGGAGAATCCCCAACACGGTTTCTCTTTGGATTCTCCCTTGCCAGGTATGCCGGTCTTGTACCTAGCTACCACTATTTGACACTTTGGATTCTCCCTTGCCAGAACTCTGAGATCGGGTCTCGAGGTTGCCCTTACATCAGGGAGCAACTCGTCGCGACCGGGCAGGGGTAGCAGAACTTCTTAGGGTGGAATCACGCGACACGCAAATTGTACAAAACAATCTGAAATGAGAGTGATTCACAGTCCGGGGGAAAAGCTTCCTAATACAAAGAAACAACGTGCTACTTATACTGTCTACGACGATGCTTAGTAAAGTCCTGTACAACTGCATAGTAGCTACGCTATCTAAGATCGGTTGCCTTTTAGAGTAATGAAAAAGTTGAACGATCGGACAGGTCCTGAGTGATCAGGACCCCGCCCCATAGTCCACATGATACTTTTGATGTGGGTCAACCCACCGCGTCATACTTTTGGAATACGACGTGCTAGATTGGCCAACGGGTATGTCTTGGCAAGTGAGACCAACGTGGGCGCCCCAAGAAGCCGTATGGCCCTAGGCACGCCAGTCGTTCCTCACATGGTTTGGTTCACGGATCTAGCCGTGTCGGTCTTAGCGTATTTGGGTATGGGCGCGACTCGCCGTGACACTTGGAAGTGTCACCGCGACGCGTCCACAATGTCCCGTGATCGAATGGATTCTGACATGTGACAAGTCGTCGTCGTGTCACGATCTGAGGAAACGTCCAACTCAAAACCGGGAGTTGCCGCGACAAGATTGGTTCAATCTTGTAACGCCAAGTCCTTTCCAGTAGTAGTTGCATTATTGAGAACATCGCACATTGCTCAGCCCTTCAGCCCAAGTTCCCATCTGCAGAGAATGACCCTTTTTGAGAAGTCGCCGCAACGAAAGATCCCTTTTGGGGAATTGTCGCGGTCCAAGTGTTTGTCACTAATAGCCCTGAGCCTGGTATAGACTCATAAGACCAATTCCACAGTAGTGGTCTGACTGCCTTGCTATTGTCGACACTATCCACAGTCGTCGACTGGGCAGTAGACCCTTATGCCCTACTGAACGTAACACTGTCAACCGCGACACGATACACCGAGTGGTTCAAGAGTAAACTCTGTAAAAAGCGCAAAAATACGCCCTTACAGAGCTGGTGCAGAGCGTGTCTGGTAGCCAGCCTATCACCGGGCTCCTATTGTTCCAACAGTCCGGCTCCCATTGTTCTCCCTGACCCGCCCCCTCATTGTTCCCTGGCCCCATTGTCTGGTGCTTCCCATTGTGCTTGGTCATCCATTGTTCTTTAGGCTATACATAGTGGGCCCTGACAAGGAGAGTCCCCAACTCGGTTTCTCCTTGGACTCTCCCTTGTCAGGTTTGCCAGTCTCCTGTATTAGTTGATCTCTTTATCTAATGCTTTGGACTCTCCCTTGTCAGGACTCTGAGATCAGGCCTCGAGGTTGCCCTTACAGTGTGGACCGTGCATTGTTAGGATCTACTAATAAGATTACTTCATGTCAATATAAGATAACCTGATAAGGAATCGATGGAAAAATAATCAAATCATGACATTACTCCCTCTCTAGGCTTGATGTCTGCAATGACTGAGCCAATAGGTGTGAATGCATTGTCATAGAGGTCAAAGAGTTGTTGTGGGTAAAGGAGTCTTTCGTCTTTGGTTTTGTAGCAATGAATGAGATAATCTCGATACCCAGCTTGAGGGACAGGTATAGCATGAATATGGATGTTGGAATTGAATTGTTTCTTTGGCCAGGCTTGTCATAGTTCAACCACTTTTTCATCTTCTCATCTTCTCATCTTATCTTATCTTGACACAGGTTATCTTATCACAGATCACAGCATCACATGGTCCAGGTTAGAGGCTTAGGGGAATTATCTCTGTTGATTCAAGGCTGCGCAATATATGCTCTGGAAGGTTCTACTACAACCCATGACCAGGGATCCATGCATAGTTCTATGACTCATTAGTTGTAGATATGACTTAGACTGGACTTGGAGATAAATACTGTAGCTACCTTGTTGTATTCTCCAGTCTCTGAATTGACTTCTCTTTTCAACATTACTTCTTGTTAATTGTCACATAATTCAGAGACTCCTCTCATACCCTCCTACCTCATACCTCTTACCACTGCATCTCTCACTGCTATGCCTGCTATATCCTCTTCACCCTTGCTAAACTACTTACATTTTTACCAAATCATCTAGTCGTTCTCTGTGATTGTAGTAAAGGGTTCATATGTGACAATCAACCAAAAACAATAGTCAAAAAGAGAAGTGAATTTGAAGACTGGAAAATACAACCAAGTAGCTACAGTATTGATATCCAAATCCAGTCTGAGTGTCATATCTACAGCTAATGAGTCATAAAGCTATGTACCGCATGGAGCACTGGTCATGGGTTGTAGTAGAACCTTCCAGAGCATATGTTGCGCAGCCTTGAATCGATAAAGATAATCCCTGGAACCCCTAGCCCGGACTGTCTGATGCCGTGATCCGTGATAAGATAAGTCATGCCAAGGTAAGATAAGATGGTCGATGATAAGATGAAAAAGTGGCCGAATTATGACATTACCCCCTCTCTAGGGTCAATGTCTTCATTGACTAGGCCAATGGGCGTGAAAACGTTCTCGTAAGGGTCAAAGAGTTGTTGTTGGGGATATGGAAGGCGCTCATCCCTGGGTTTGTAGCGATGAATAAGGTAGTCCCAATGTCCGGCTTCGAGCGTTGGCAGGAGGCGAATGCGTGTGTCTGGGTTGGATTGTTTCCTCTAGAACAATGGGAGCCGGACTGTTGGAACAATAGGAGCCCGGGCCTGAGGGTCATGTGAACGTGCTTGGCAAGGAAGTCTGGACTGAAGCACGTGACGCCTGACAGATGGCACGTGCGCGGTCACATGCAAGATCCCATGATGATTGGGCAAAAGCAGGGGTTCCCCTGACAGTTCTTGCACAGGTCACAGCTGTTCAAAGCTGTACCAGCTAGCTACACAGCACACTCTGGAAGACTTCACCACAACCCATGACCAGTGTTCTATACAGCACACAGTCTTATAACTCATTAGTTGTAGATATGACTTGGACTAGAACTAGGTATAAATGCAGTAGCCACTTGTCATGTATTCTCTAGTCTTGGAATTAACTTTTCTTTCCAATTCTTATTTCTTGGATTGATTTTCACTTAGCACTTGAAAAGGATGCCAAAAAGTACATATGAGTCAAACATACTAACATACACATGCATTTCATTTTTTAAGTAAGTAGCAGCAAGAACAAGAACAATACATGATGCAACAGGCTCAACAAGACTTCTCATGAACACTCATCTCTACACTTCCTACAAAAAGATGCCAAGAAAAAGAGCAAGTTGTTGTAGGTGAACAATACGAGGAATGCCTGATATAATATGAGAGAATGCCAGAACAGAAGTAAAGTCTTATACCATTTGGATGAACTTGAAGTGGATGGCCATCAGCAACAAATGCAGCAGTGGATGCCTGGCACTGAGCAACTAAGTTATAATATCAATAAGGTTGGCAAAGCACAATCTAATACAACTTACTTGTAAAGCTGAGAAAGACTTCACGAGTTTGAGGATGAGGATTAGCAAGTGGAGCTAGGTTTGGCCCAACAAGAATGCTATTTCGTCCAGCTGCTGCATTTGCAAGCTTCATGGGCTGAAGAGCCAAACTAAAGCAAATCAGAAAACCTTTCAATGGATTAGAGAATGCTCACCTGGCTTGAATGTGATTGAGCCTCTGAACTAGAGCTGCATGGTTGTCAAGTGCAGTCTGGTGGTTGTCAGCCACTGTAGCAACAAGGGCAGCATGATTGTTGAGCACAGCCTGGTGGTTGGCATTGACTGTGATTGTGAGCTGACCAATTGTCAGGACAAGCTGTTGCAGCTGATGGCCAATGTTCATGACAGGAAGGTTGTCAAGCAGAGCAACTTGAGCACTAAGGTCCCTCAGGTTGTCTGCTGCGGCCGTCAATGATGCGCTCATGACAGCAGGGTTGGGTTGAGCAGCAGGTTCAGCCATGGTGATGGTGGTTCAGAGGCAAAAGAGGTGGGGTAATCAAACATCAACAATACCTTGATCATGAGTGATCTCCCCACTCTAGGTTATACTTGATCTTTTTCTCGCATCCCGTCACTTATCACTGCCCAAAACCGCATCGAAAGCAAACGTTGCCAAGGCTCAGCCGCTCGCCAGTGTGATCATGACACACTGTTGTGTGTGCTGGTCGACTCGTCGCCCGCGCTGCGTCTCTCCGAATCGTGCCAAGGCGTTCACGCCGTTGTGAAGATATTGAAGCGGGCAGGGACTCCTCGGGAAGTGTGGTGCGTGGTCTGACGTGTTTGCGCTGGCTTCCCAGAGCTCTAAGCACGATGATAGAATGAAATGCCTAGAGTTCCTATACTTCTATCTGCTAGACGAAACAAACGTGTCTCCTGTTTCAGGGCTACCTTTAGTCACCATGCACAAGGCACCAATTGACTCGGCCCCGTCGACCCCGAGACCATTGCCTCGGCACCCATCCTCGCACAAGCCTTTCATCAACGCGGTTCCCAGTCGCCCCCCCTCCCGATATGGGTCCTCCACCTACTCGTTCTCATCCGGTTCCACGAGTTTCGACAGCTCGCTGTCGTCCGGTTCTTTTGACACGACGACGACCTCGTCGTCGTCATCGCCTTTCTCGTCATCGCCTTCATCGAGATCCACGTCAGGAAGCTCTTTCTCCTCGACGACCTCAGCAGTGGGCTCCGTTTCTCCGAAGAAGCGATCTCAGTTCCTGCCCGGGGCTGGGCCCTCTACGCCGGGCCCACCTTCGCCGAAAAAGCCCAGTTCGGCCCTGCCCCGCACGCCCGGCCAGGCCCGGCTACCGAATGCCCTGCTGATGCTGAGGAAGGACGTGGAATTTGTACCCCAGAGTCCCAAGCGACCGCCGGGATCTTCCGTCGGAAAAGAAAAGGTGGTTGTGGGGCCCATGCTTGGGAATGTCGAGGCCCCATGTGGATGGTCTCGATCCACGCCTGCCATGAGTGGCACGTTCGACATGTTCACCGATGCGTTGAACAAGCACAGCGAGAACGGGATACGCTGCTCCAGCGCGTGGCCCGTCCACACCAGCACGCTGTTGGCGCTCGACGAGAAGAAGAAGACGAAGACGAGGTTGAGCAGCGTCAGGTTTGCGCTGGAGCCTTGTACAAGCAGGGTCACGATGAGCAGCAGGAGGTTGGCGACCATGGAGAAGAAGCTCAACGAGGACCAGACGACGAGCTCAGGCAAGTGCGCAGCCATCCTCAGTCCTCTTGCTTAGGCAGAGAGGGGAGGTCGACGACGCGTGTCCCAACCCCTGGTTAAAAGGTGTCGCAGTGGGCGTCCCTGGGAAAACGTTTCTGACGTACGATGAGAGTCGTGCAGGGACACCGGACGACCGCGCCGGTGGCGGGAGCGGCAAGAATATTGCTTGCAGAAAGCCTTCAAAATTGGAATAGCAAGTAAACTCCTGATCGGTCGCGCAGACAATTATCGCCACGTGATGTCATCGGTGCCTGGCCTTGTATACAAGTGAGATCTTTGCAACGAGTTTCATTAAAAAAGTACAGAGACGTAGAGGGTCTCGATCATCGATTAGTCACGAAGTCCATGCAAACGGAGAATATTCTCTTGCGTAGTGGCTACTGTGCGGACAACCTGAATGTCCCCAAACCGTGCTTTGTACGTGTAGTCGGGGCCGGCAGAATCAGTGTCGGTCGAATGGTGCTCAGGCACTTGAGAGCTGGCGTCGCTCATTTCCGGGATGATGATGGATTGGGAGAACGAGAAGGTTTGACACACAGCATCTGGTTCGCGCTGGCATCGGAAAACAAATCGCAGGATAGGCTAGAAGGGAAGAGGAGAACATCAGCGTGTGTGGTGAGGATAGAATAGTTTCGGACGTCGCACCTTCGAGCTGGCAAATATGAAAAATGCTCCGACACCACAGGAAGCGAGCACGATATCAGGCACCACTGCTGTGAAAGCGGTTGTCAACGCGAGGAGACCGGTTCTGTGCAAAGGGGCTTTCAGTCACTTTCTCTAAAAGGTCCGCCTACGGCTCCTTACATAAAGGCTGCCAGTACAAAGCATGAGAATGCCACGACCCGGATGATGAAGGCGTGAGAGAGTAGTGGACTGCCACTGTTGTGGACCCGGGACGGGGACTGTTTACGCCGCTGCCGGGTAACAAAGATCCGAGAGGAGGTCCAGACAGCTAGAGTGAGCGTCACGAGCGAAAAAATGGCACCGAAGCAGCTGGTGAGAATCTGGCTGCAAAAGACAGTCAGCACGATCAATGGCAGGTATGCGATCCCCCTTACATCCAATTGATATTGACGACACAGTAGAAAGGAGAGCCTCGAAAAACATCCGCTGGACGCGTGACTCCCAACTACGTCCGACGGTGTCAGTCCTATTCACAAGGCTGCGATCCACGGCCGACGTACGATTATAGCCGTCACAAACAGAGGCACGGCGCAGAGGTAAGGAAGTGCGACGAGCTAGCAGTATCCAGAATCAGATCCCCTGCAACAATCACAGATGGCAGAAGCGTCCTCACCAACGGACTCCAGACAACCCACGCTAGAATCGGCTCGAGACGAGGATGCCAGGTCTTCATCGCTGTCCCCCAAACCTGGGCAACCATCGCGAGCGCCGCTCCACTCATGAGCGGGACGTTGGACATGTTCACGGCGGCGTCGAACGCACAAAGCCCGAACGGGATGTGCTGCCGCAGCGCGTGCCCGGTCCAGACCAACGCGCTGTTCGAGATCGATGCGAGGATGAACACGATCTGGAGGTTCAGCAGGGTCGCTTGCGCGTCGAGACCTTGCGCGATAAGGGTCGTGATGAAGAGCAGCGTGTTGAAGACGCCGGCGAAGAGGTTCAATGTCGACCAGGTGATCAGTGCCGCGAGATGGCCGGATGGGTCGACGGGCAGCGCCATTCCAGCCTGGGGCTCAACGCGTCTTGCCTCCCGTAGGAGAAGAGCATGTCGTGGTGGGCTGATGTATTCATATCACATCTCGCTCAGGAGACAGGTGACATCCTTGGGAAACCGCCACAGCTTGTCACTAAATGAGGTTGTTGGACGCCAGGACATGGAAACGACAGATAGCTGGCCGTTTCGTATGCACTCGTTGTGGATAAGCTGTAAGTGTGAGCACCGATATCGATCAGATCTACATACAAACTTGAGACGAAGTCGTTCTAGGATTTACGCAGAGGTAAAATACAAGGTATATAGCTTCACATTCTCAAGATCCCATAACGGCCGTCTAGCTCAGCTGGTTAGAGCGTCGTGCTAATAACGCGAAGGTCTTGGGTTCGATCCCCACGATGGCCATGTTTTTATCCCCCCTCTCTCTCCGCTCTGAGCAGAGCTTCCGCTTTTGCTCCTTCTCTCTCTTGCTCGTCACTTCCTCATCAACCGATGTACCGCTTCCTCCCTGCCTAGTACATATTTGGTTTCATGATAATACATATTTTGATTAGAATAGCAACGAGGCCGCGTTGTCCACATTCCCCCCAGTAGCATCGAGGTTCCTGATCGCCAATTCGCGCGTTGCCCCTAAATCCATGAGGATCCGGATACTGGACTCTGGATGTGTCGTCGTAGATGGACCGGGAGCAGCTTGAGGCGCCGCTCCGATTGTGTTCCCGGAGCCGGGGAAATGACTGGGTCTAGCACTGCTACTGGACGTGCTTGCTTCCCGAGTGGCTGCGGCTAGTTCCTCTGCCGTTGGGGCCTGATCCCTCGCTTTCTCCGGGAGCTCATGCTCCGACAGGAACTTCACTTCTCGACCCCGGACCCTCAACACATTCCTCTCCAAATCTATGCAGGCCTGATGCGCCTTGAGCATGTCCAATCCCAACAGAAGATCGACATCCCGGCCCTCCATAATGGTTATTGAGCATGGCAGATGCAGGTCAGCAACTTTGAACTGGGCACTGTGGACTCGTCCGAGAATCTTCGCTGTGCCAACGCCTCTTGCGATACCGGAGAAACGTGTATCGAGCAGCCGCATAATACTGTATTTAGTGAGCTAGCTGCGAGGGGCATTTAGATCGGCTGAAGACTGACCCGCAAGCTTCAGCGGTCTCGGGGCTCACTGTGGGAGTTCAATTTCGTTTCCGGCGTGCATCGAGTCGGGGCTCACTAATTGTTTGCTGTGCCCCACTATCCACGAATGCCTTGACGGGCTTTCCATTGACCTCCACCGGAATGCTAGACAATATCAGCACCCTGAAGGTCTGCGATATGTGAACGCACTAGAGCATGGTCACCCTCCCGAAACTTTCCGGCGAGTACTCCAACGCGTGCTCCATGTTCTCCAGAACCGCTTGCTGCCGGATGGCTTCCTCAATCTTTCGCTGTGCCTCGACATCGTACGGATCCGCATTCAATCGCTCAATCTCGTGTTGTCGTTGCATCTCGGCCGAATTTTGCATGTCTCGTGTTGAGCGCAACAGTTCTGCGAACCTTGCCGGATTAGATTGAGCCGCTTGCGCGATTTCGGGTTGCATCTATCGCGCCGCGTCGTGTAAGATGAGGACGGGCAGGGAGTGGGGGAATACCCACAGCCTGTAGCTGACGCATCATCTCGGGGTCCCCGAGAAGTTGCAGACGCATCGATTCCGCATCATGCTCGACGGGTCTGTAAGAGCATAAGACGGTCACGGACATATAGATTCATCTCTACTCACCTGCCGGCCATATTGGGAATCTTCCTCCTCAGCAGCAGCAGTGCATTATTTTCGTTCACGCCAAGTTGGCGAAGGGTTGACTTGGGTGATACCAAATCGCGGCCATTATATGAGATGCTCTGCTCGCCAACTGCAATGCCAGACTTGGGGAGAGGACGGTCAGGCGCGTGAAAAAGGGTGTGCAATCCTGTATACGCAGTACCTCTACTTCAAGAAGGGCCATGACGTTTTCCAGCTCCATATCTGGGTCAATTTCAATCACGAAGGTTTGTCCCAGATCGGTCGCGAAAGTGAGCTCCATGGTGCAGAGATGAGGTTGGTTGTGGCGCGATTATGAGGCTGATGACGAGGGTGTGCTCCTGAAAAGTGTCAGCGCAGCACCGCCGAAGTTTCAGAAACATATATACCAATGCGGTGGAATGTGCTGGAACGATGAATGTCTGTACGCGCGTCCAATGGTACTTGGTAACAACAGTGACCGAGGGCAATCGCAGTTATCTCCGGCGGGAAGTCTCCGCGAGGGCACGTGGCTTTTTTCAGGTGACGTATGTCGTCAAAACACCGGATCGTAAGCATCGGTCACATATGCCGGTTGGGACCAATTTCTCCTCTTACCATTTCCACACCCGTCAACAACCAGTCTACCGCTCTCTTTTCACGATTGCAAAAACCATACGACTCAACTAATTGCTCATGTCGTGTGAGTACCCGTCTCTGGCACTTCCTTCCTCCGTTATCTCCGGTGTGGAGCCAATGCGTGTGGATGGGAAATCTAATCGGAGGCCTCGCGCCTCCGATCCCTTCACTTCACTCAACGCATTACACGATGGCCTCTTCATCGCTTTCTGCGTCTCAAAGCTTACCGCTACCATCTCTCTCTCTCCCTGGTCTCACATGCTTTCTCGAGTCTCATAACCACTCACTGACCACCGTGTACCCTCACAGCCGCTAGCATTGTGGTTTCGGCGAGCAGCGCCCCCGTCTTGTCGAGCTCGGGTGCTGCTGCAAGCCCCAGTAGCAGTGCCCCTGCCTCTCCAAGCGTCAGTATTCCAATTGCGAGCAGCAGCAGCAACCCAGTGGTCAGCAACCCGTCCGCTCCGTCTAGCGTCTCCACTGCTCCACCTGGATCTTCGGTCGCTCCACCATCCTCTTCTTCATCACCAATTGCCTCCCCATCTGTATTGACCTCCGCCTCCATTTCCGTCTCTCAGTCGACCCTAGTGTGAGTCCCTCGTTTCCTGCCGCATGTCTTCCGCCTTGTTGCCGTTATCGGGTCCAAATATTTCCGTGTGCTGGTGGGAGGCGGTCTTCTTCGGCTACAGTGCATGGCTCTTTGTGCGGAGAAATACACGCATGTATTAAGATTGCCATGCGCGGCGTCCCTTTCCAACGCACGTCCGCGGCATCCCTTATTCGTCTCTTTTCGTCTTGGCGCCTTCCTTTCTCAGGTCGCATTTGTACCGAGCTCATTCCTTTTCCACACAGGTCAACGTCGAATGGTGTTGCCGTCACGCAGACCATCCAGGTCACCTCCACGATCCCAGCCGGTGCCACCATCACGCCTAGCTCGACTGCAAGCAATTCAGCACCGGCATCGAACTCGCATGCCGGTGCCATCGCAGGTGGTGTTGTAGGCGGTGTTGCGGCGTTGTTGATTGCCGGCTTTCTGCTCTGGTTCTTCAACAAACGGTCCAAGGAACGCAGGCTACAGGAGGAGTTTGACGGCAACTTCGATCCCGGACGCACGACGGGCCCAACCTTGCCTCGAATGTCGATTGCAGGGACTCCTGGCCTCGAGGAGGGTGCGACGGGTCCGCTTGGTGAAACGGATGATGGGGTCGGTGGCCGGTTGGCGGGGAGCGACATCGGTGCTGGTGTTGTCACGCCATTCCCAGCTAGTGCTGCGTACCACCAGCAGCCATACGCCCAACAACCTCAAATGGCGCAGTATGGCAACTATCCGGCTTCCAGTGTCTCAGGGTACGACGACATGCATAGTCCGACGGCGAATAACGGCTTCTACTACCCTGGCGCATCCAGCACGGCCCCCTCCGTTGTCCCTCCGCCATCTAGCAACGGCTCGTCCGGCGGCTACTACTCCAACCCGATGAGCGCTAAAGAACGGGAAGTGCGTGAGAGCCGATTCTCAGTGGCCAACCCCACTGGGATGCACATGCCGATGCCCGCGCCGTCAACCGACATGCCTAATCTGCCGAATCCCCACTCTCCGGCTGGTAGTGCGGGTAGCGGAGGTGTAGTTGTCCACACCGATGGTGGTCGGGTCCTTCCTCCGGATCAGGATCAGCCCATGCGTGAAATTCCGCCCACTTACGACAGCATCGCTCAGTGAGAGCGCTGAAGGGACTCTTCATCTATCTTAATTCCAATGACTTTTGATATGTACAAAATTGGCACACTCTCACGTTTACTAATTTCAAACTTGGACTGTGCATGGTACTACGAATTGCTATTCAGTGCTGTATCTTCATGGCATTGCATTACTTAGATGGCTAGGTTCGAAAACTGGGAGACGCCAAGAGCACTTGTAAGCACAGCCCGACATCTATGCGGGACTGTGGTGGCCTGCCATCAGCTCAAATTTAGGATTCATTGTAAACGCCGTGCCTGAACGCGCAAATATAAAACCCTGGTGGTCATTGATAGCAAGGCCTGGGAATTCAATCTGTAGAAGGCATTTTCTTGCCTGCCTTGCGCGAAGCATCTATCTTCAATGTCGAGCTTTCCCATCATCCTCAAGCTTTTCATTCAATCTGTTGCTCGAAGTTGGACTCCCCAACTCATCCATCAGATCGCGTGACGTCGATATTTTACCACTTTCCCCTTCCTCTCCACCTCACCCCACCTACCGGGCTCGGCGACGATGAGCCGCAGACTTCGAGTCCCAGCATCTTCAATGAGCTGGGCTCGTCCACTTCTCGTCCCGGTATTCCTTATTTCTCTGGCCATCCCGATCATCGCAGACCCAGCAACCCTGCCATTCACCGATTGTTTCAATGGCAATGCCTCGGCCAAGTTTTCCATTGACAAGGTGTATGGGCAGGTGTTGACGACGGACCAAACGGGGACATACCTCAACCTCACGGTGATAGGGAGCAGCCCTCAGGAGATTTTCGGGTTTGTGGACTCGAGTTCTAGTCTCGGTGAGTATATGCCGCATCGCGGGTTTGGTCGGTCTCACTGAAAACGCTCAGCCACCCTTTTCACGACAACCACCGTACTCACGCTTAACGTCTGGTCGAATAGTTCGTACCTATGTAACACCATCCGACCCGCATCCCCACTGCCCGTTCTCGACAACAGCACTGCCAACTACTGTCCCATCCAGGCAGGCCCTTTCGCTCTGTCATCGACCATTCCGTGGGGTGAGCACCGCCACCTTACGACGCTGAACACCAGGCTGCGTGCCGTCGACCCGTTCAGTAACGAGCTGCTGTGTCTCAGCGTCAACACCACACCCCTCACACCTACGGCGGAGTCGCCGTATGGCGTCGCTCGGGGGATATTCTGGGCCACAGTGGGCCTGGCGATGGGATATTGGGTCATTATCGGCATCGCACGGCTGGTCTCTGCGTGGGGCCGCGGCACGACGAGACCGGGCCGGTCGTTGTGGGCCAGGGTGCAGAGTGCTGGTTTCATCCTTGCGAGCGCAATCAGTGGCGAGCGGTTTGCGACGTCTCCGGCCCTTATGCGGTTTAGCACACCTTGCATGAGGGATGTCATATTCCATACACAGTGGTGTGCGGCACTCGCGATGGTGGCCGTTCAATGGCCCGACTTTGCATGTGAGTTCCCAGTAGCAGTTCATCAGTACATTCATCATTCCCTTCCTTACTGCTTTCAGATCCGTTGCTAGCCCAGACGTCCTGGGCTACTCTGAGCTATAGTAAGTGTCAACTTGTCCTTCCGCGGCCGTTTCATTTGGCTCACGGAGCCGTGCTCAGATATCACACTAACGAATCATTTCCACTGGAATCCCCTTTTCACGTTACCTTACGACCCTCCATCGACGTTCAGCTCTCAACTAGCTGATCCCACTTCGGCGATCCATGTCAATTCAACAGCTCCGAATATTCTGTTCACGCTGCCGTCTAATGCGACAATGGGCATGTCAATGTTCGCCTACACAATTGGCGTGCGACCACGGGACCTTTGGGGTATCTGCATGATCCTCTTTCTCGCCATTCTCGCTGCAACAATCGTGCTCTCCGCCATCGTCTGGTTCATCGATTTCATCGGCGGAATCGGCACTGGCACGGTCTCGCGACCTGGACGCCGGGCGCGCAGTCCCGGCCCGAAGGAGCTTGAGATGTCTGCCGAGGAGTCGAAAGTGGCCATGTTCCGACCCTCTTCTCGTCTGGCGCTGTCCGGAACGTTCGGTAACGGTACTTCTTGGTATCGGATTCGGACAGAGATGAGCTCGTTCCACTGGAGTGTGCTGGCTGGCAACCTGGTCCGGATCCTCGTTCTGTTCCATCTGCCCATCACGATCTTCTCGTCATTCCAAATGACCCAGAGTAACGAGTTGATGCGTACCCGAGCTCTGGCAGCGCTGTCGTTCGCGTTCTGTTCGGTGGTGGTCCCGGTGTACCTCGTGATTCGAGTGACGCTGACGACGACGAACAAGCTCTATGACGAGACCCGGACGTTGCTGGCTTTTGGCCCGCTTTATAATCACTACCGACACGGCAGCCAGCTATTTGCGAGTCTGCTTTTCGCTACAAATATCGTGTTCGGTGTTGTGATTGGGGCGGGACAGAAGAGTGGAACTGCGCAGGCGGTCGTGATCCTCGTAGCGGAGGTTGTGTCTGCGCTCGTTACGAGCATCTGGTTGCCTTGGGGTACCGGAGCCAGCATGGGATTGATCAGCTTTCTGTTCTGCGTTGCGAGGATTGTCGTGGCTGTGCTTCTTGTAATTCTCACACCGGCGGTGAGTGCTTTGCATCGAGCTACCTGTTCATTTTATTCATCGTCGTGCCCTAGATATCTATTGGTGACGGTGCTGGTGCTTGGGTTGCCTATGGAATTCTCGTCATTCTCGCCCTCGTGTATCTGGCTCTGAGTTTGATGCTACTGATCAAGCTTATTGAAGGAGCGGTTCGCATCGTCGGCCGTGTAGGGTTCGACCGAAGCAACCACGCTGTCGACAGCGGTCTGCTCGGTGCCTGTGGTTTGCTGGGATGCTGTGGAGCCCGAAAGCGACACCATGGGAAATCGCGTAGCAGTCGACCATCTCGTGCCGAGACTGCTCATTCGGAGGGTTCTACAGTTCTTCTCCCCCCGGCACCTCTCGAGTCTTCGAATGGCAAGGGCTCGATCCACTCGCAACATGTCCCGTCTGTTTTACGACCAGAGCACGCCCTGCGGCCGTATCGGGAAGAGAGCGATGACGAAAGCGGCTATATCATGGGCGCCTGGCAGCCGTTCCCGCGACCTGGGTACCAGGTTGTCAAGGACACGGCGCCCTCCTCCGGTTTCTCCAGGGTCGGCGGCGGTCGAGCACACATTGACACGCCGTATGCGATACAGTCGAAGACTGCGTTGGCGTCTTCGTCGTCGACCCCGACTCTGGAATGGCCCACGATCGACGACGACGAAGCTCCTCCCGTCTCATCTGTCATGCGCCCGCAACGCTCAGAGACTAATGTTCCGCGTGGAGCGATGCTTCCGCATATGAGAACGAAATCGCAGACCGCCATCATCGAAGATGCCACCCCTCTTGCAGCAGTAGCAACACTCCACCCAGTGTCAGCCGCAGATGAGGACGACGACGATGATGACCATTCGGATGTAACACAGCGGAGGAAGAAGCCGTGGTACCATATCCGGCGACATCGACCCCACAGCGATGGCGCGGCCCCGTCCTCGTTTCCGGCAGCAGCAGTGGAACAGGCTGCGGCTGCGACTTCAGATGTGCCGGCCGGGAGGTCGTTTGTGGTCATCAGGAAAGGGGGCCAGGCCTCCCCTGGCAGGTCCGCACAGTTGTCGATGCCAACGGATACTCGCCCTGCTTCCAGTGGATGACGATCTACCTGTAATATGTACTGTTTATTCTATGGACCATCGATCAGTTCTGCTCTACTACGAGATCGTGTCGCTCACGATCCACCCTTGGAACGCTGCTCAGAATCTTCATCTTTGTGCTGGGGCCAATCACGTGTAAAGTCTCCGGTCCTTGGTCTCACAGCGATGAGTCGATTGGTACAACTCCGACGATCTCGCCCTTACGAGAGGCAGTCAGATTGACTTTAGTGGCTGAAGTTTCGCCACGGCGAATCCTCCTCGGGGAAGTCGGAGCTCGGTGTGAGCTGTGCCACCGGTCGAGGACCGACACAGCGTAAAAGGGATTGTTGACGATCCCTGTTGATCATCGCATAATCTCAAAAGTAATTATAATCGCAATTTGAAAATACAGAATACTAGGTTTGCGCAGCCGTGCTGGAGTATACTCAATAGCTAATTAGCTAATACTCGCAGTACAATCTCTGCTCGCTCATTTACCAGGCCGCTTGGTCGGAGCGCGAGACGAATGGTGATTGCTTCCACATGTGGGTCGGAGGCCATGAAGATCGTTCCTGGATACACATTTTGTTCGACTCGAAGCCCATGTTCTGCAGTGTGCACGGAGCCTTGCTGTACCGAAAATACGCGACGTAGTCTGGGATGGTGAGCAGATGGCATTTGTAATGACTTGCGGGGGATCTCCGATTCAGACTTTTGATGAGGCGACCGTCAAACAGAAGTGAGTGTCGTTCTGGTCGGCATAACGCAAGATACCGTCGGTTTGAGAAGCCTACCAAGAGCGCACTGGATTGTTCCTTCTCGGTTTGAGGGACAATAGGCATACTGTCCGGAATCCGGATGCTTGTGCGATAGTCGACGTAGATGGCGGTCGGGTTCAAGTCGGGTCTCCCGGTATGGAGCACGTGGCATTCAGGAGGGCGTGCGAAGAGTGGGGGAGCAGGCGGGGAGTTCCCCTACCTTCCCAGCTGACGTCACGTTCTGCGCCAGACAGTGTTCAATGTGGTCGTGTAGTGAGTAGTGCTGTGCAGTACATAGATTGCCTTTCATCGTATAATACAGGTACATAGTCGGCCATAGGTCATGGTTGGAATACAGGGACGGCCGTGCGAGTAAGTACAAGCACGGATCATGCTCGACGCCGCAGCCCCTCACACGATTGCTCCGGAACATCTGCGCATTCACAACTTCGCTTTCATCATTCCTTCCTCTTGCACACCATTCACCAGGGTGCCTATTCCGTTCCCCAGCGACACAGTGACCTGGTCCCCATCCTTGAGATACAAAGCCGGCTTCCGTGCGAACCCGATTCCTGCTGGGGTGCCGGTGAGAATGATGGATCCAGGAGCGAGAGTGGTGCCCTGAGAGAGGTAAGCCACTGTCTGGGCGACATTGAACACCTGCTGAGAGGTGTTGCCATCTTGCACAAGCTGCCCGTTCAGCGTGCACCTGAGCGGTATCGTTTGGGGATCGGGAATGGCAGTTGTGGAGACGAGGCATGGACCGAGTGGGTTAGAGTCGTCTGCAAGAGTTGATCAGCTTCATCGCTCAAGGGGGGTTTCCCGTACCAAAGTTCTTTGAGAACGTCCACTGCGACACCAAGAACTGGTGTTTCCGAAAAGACACGTCGTTGGCGCCGGTGTATCCGAGCACATAGTCAAGAGCGTCGGTTACTGACACATCGCGGGCGGCCTTTCCAATCACGATCGCCAATTCGACTTCGTAGTCCGGGAAATGTTCTGCGACCGGTTGTGCGGCCTTTGGTATCACGATAGGCGCATTCGGTCCAATGAGGGACGACACCGGCTTCGAGAAAAGCGTCGGGAAGCTAGAAGGGCGGGTTCAGACACTGGCGGTCGGAGCGCAAACCACGCACGGTGGAGGGGGCAAGTTGGCTTCGGCCTTGTGCAAGTGTGAGTCTCTGCGGTGCGAGCGCTGCTGCGACATACAGCATGGTCTGCATAATTGAGGCCCAGGCACCGGACATAGCCCACTTGCTCACGGGACAGCGGACTCAGCAGCTGTTGTACGGTCAAGATGCGCTCGGTGACCTGAGCGGCGGGGTCCAGGGCAGACCCAAGGATCTCGAAGGCCCGGATAGGCGTGCCTTTCGATGCTGCGAGACCGACTAGAAGAGTCAACATCACTGGCACACCGCTGACAGAACCGCTCACCATCTAGCTTCGGGTCGACAGGTTGACCGATGTGCACTTGCGCCGTTTCCGCAGCGACAAAGCGGATGAGTCGTGTCCACTGCTGACCAGGACGTCAGCCATTCGCCCGGTTACGGAGCAACAAACGCACGGGGTGGATGGGGGACATGGAGGTAATCGCAGGTGGAGTTAGCGGGAGCAGCCTTTATATATGTCGTGCACCGTGAGACTCGGTCCGCGGAAGATCGCAGTGATTTCGGGTCCCCGCTGATGAGAACTTGGGGGGTTCAAGGATGATCCGAATGTGTGCTAGCCGTGCGCCACTGTCCACACTCATTAAACCGAGTTGGCTACATATTGGCCTGGAGAATGGAGATGGATCCGGGTCGGACCATTGACTGGCTGAAATCGCATGCGGACGTGAGACAAGTGGGATTGCCAGTTGATCATCGACGTCGTTGACAGAGGACACGGTCACATGACTCGCTTAGCCCTTGCCGAAACTCAACCACTCCCGCCATCTCCTCGTGGCATCGCATTTTTTAGAGCTCAGCCGATCGTGTCCCTTCTCATGAGCGAGAAGCTTGAATCCCTCAAGCGAAGATTAGAAGATGTTCTTGATGACGTGCGTTTTCTGGGCTTTCCGACCAGCACGCGACACCGACACTCTCCCAGCTCTCTTCCCCACGGAGTACCAGCGTCGACAAGACCGAGGCATTGAGAAGCTTGGAGAGGATACTGGCTGCCGCGTGTGCCCGCACGAACTCCGACGAGGATCGAGACGTTTTCATCGCACTCCAATACACTTTTGAATGCAATGGTGCGTGCATCATACTTGATCGTGGCATGCTGACACTCAGCTCCGGCAGTATCGACCAAGATCCTCAGCTGGATTATGGCCTCGACCTCCGCTCTCGAGTCCTTGATATCTCAGGGGGACGTCGACAGTGTGTACCTTCTACATGTCTCTGACCTGCCTGACCTGACTCGCTGATAGCGGAGAGACGAGCGGAGATTTCGGATATTACCGCCCAGCTATCGCTGGCTCTCTCAATCCTCCAAGGCGTTTGTCTCATTCACCCTGCAACCAAGGCATCTCTCGGCTGTCGATGCGCTTTGGAGGTCAGATCACATGCATATATTGCACGATGGACTTGGCTCATCCCCTCCACTCTAGGTTATACTTGATCTTTTTCTCGCATCCCGTCACTTATCACTGCCCGAAACCGCATCGAAAGCAAACGTTGTCAAGGCTCAGCCACTCGCCAGTGTGATTCTGGACACACTGTTGTGTGTGCTGGTCGACTCGTCGCCCGCACTGCGTCTCTTCGAATCGTGCCAAGGCGTTCACGCCGTTGTGAAGATATTGAAGCGGGCAGGGACTCCTCGGGAAGTGCGGTGCGTGGTCTGACGTGTTTGCGCTGGCTTCCCAGAGCTCTAAGCACGATGATAGAATGAAATGTCTAGAGTTCCTATACTTCTATCTGCTAGACGAAACAAACGTGTCTCCTGTTTCAGGGCTACCTTCAGTCACCATGCACAAGGCACCAATTGACTCGGCCCCATCGACCCCGAGACCATTGCCTCAGCACCCATCCTCGCACAAGCCTTTCATCAACGCGGTCCCCAGTCGCCCTCCCTCCCGATATGGGTCCTCCACCTACTCGTTCTCATCCGGGTCTACGAGTTTCGACAGCTCGCTGTCGTCCGGTTCTTTTGACACGACGACGACCTCGTCGTCGTCATCGCCTTTCTCGTCATCGCCTTCATCGAGATCCACGTCAGGAAGCTCTTTCTCCTCGACGACCTCAGCAGTGGGCTCCGTTTCTCCGAAGAAGCGATCTCAGTTCCCGCCCGGGGCTGGGCCCTCTACGCCGGGCCCACCTTCGCCGAAAAAGCCCAGCTCGGCCCTGCCCCGCACGCCCGGCCAGGCCCGGCTACCGAATGCTCTGCTGATGCTGAGGAAGGACGTGGAATTTGTACCCCAGAGTCCCAAGCGACCGCCGGGTTCTTCGTCGAGCAAGGGGACGCTGCAGATCAGGTCACGACTGGGATCACTGCGGCCGGAGGTGGTGACTTCGGAGGAGAGCGACGGGGACTTGGAATCGGGATCGGAGACGGCATGTGAGTCGAGCAGGGGTTCTGATACACGGACGACGGAAGAGAAAAAGCGATTGTTGGGGACGATGCTCGGGAATGTCGAGGCCCTTGTGGAGGGCGTGAAGAAGGCCGGTATATGGGGCCTTGGCTAGCTGGTGACCTCTGAGTGCCGTGTCTAGGGCGATAGAGACTGATTCTATTAACAAGGATTGGTTCACAGCAAACAAGTTTGTGTAGACTACGGTAGTACAGCACTGTAGTGTTTTGGAGGGCGGAGTTGTTCTTGCGGCCACAGGGTGGGCTGAAGGTGCGGATTGGAGCTTGTGTCGTGGAATGGCGTTCATATCCCGTCTCATGTGTTCAGTGAGGATAGAAGATGAATCCAAATGATTGTGTGATTCACGTGTATCGCGCAGAAAGTTTGCACGTGAGGACTTCCGGCCGATGATCCACCTCCTTCAGCATTCCTCTTCTCGTCGCCTCAAAGTGAATCCATTCCATTTCTATCCATCGGCGAAACACGGTGAACTGGCTGGATGACGCCGACGGGGCTCGCAATCATGTGGACAGATAAACACCGCAATCTTGGTGTTTTTTGCTCCCCTGCACTCTCATCTCTTGTCCACCAGCTGTTGTTCTGCACAACTCGCGGAGGTCTTCTCGAAACTAGATTCTATTTGACATGGACCTCATTCATGCAGTGGATCAGCTCCCCCGTCGTTTCTATAGTCGATTGAACCGACGTTCCCGGGGTCAATTCGTCTTTCAAAACTCGCATGGTCTTCCCCCTCAGCGCGCGGCACCAGCTGTGCTATTTTTATGCACTGTACTGCATAGATATTGAATTATGGCCTACTCCTCCTTCCCCGCCGAACTGAGCTGCTTTCCGACGGCGTCGTCAGCTACGCTCACCCTCCTTTCTCTCGCAGTGCTCTCCTCTGCAGCTGCCGAGCTCTCTGCCACCCGTGTCATGCTCTCTCCTGGAGCTGGAGCGGTGAGTCGTCGCACCCTGTTGAGGGTATCCCGATCGCACAGTTCAGCGTGCCATTCATCGGCAAAACAAGGCGCAGCAGCGCGAAAGTGGCATCCCTCGCGGCGGCTCGGGGCGGCGACAAGACCAAGACTACGCACCTGGACGGATCGGACTTTGCAGAGGAATACCTGACGGATGTGACTATCGGCGGTCAAACTTTTCCCATGATCGTCGATACTGGAAGGTGTGCTCCTAGACGTGAAATTCGTATGTGTGCTGACCAGCCGTGCCGTGTCGTGAAGCTCCGATACCTGGGTTGTGCAGAAGAACTTCAGCTGCTACGACTTGCAGAGCAACCCCGTCTCGCAGGCCTCTTGTGGTTTCGGCTCAGACGGCTTCGACACTTCGGCTTCCAAGACATTTCGGTCTTTCCACAACGTTAGTTTCGATATCACATATGGCGACGGAGAGTTTCTTCGGGGTCCTGTTGGATTCGACAGACACGGTAGAGGTTGCTGGGATGATGGTCAAGAATCAGGAGATTGCGGTGCCGAACTTCGCTGCGTGGAACGGCGATGGGGTCAACTCTGGGCTCATTGTGCGTTTGACAGCATTGTGTACAATATCTTGTTCTCTGACGATTACCAGGGCTTGGCTTTCCCTCTGCTGACGAGTGTATTCAACACCTCGGACCCGACTCAGGCGTCGCGCAAGAATCAGCTGCCTTACGATCCATTCTTCGTCACTGCTTACAAGGAGAAGAAGGTGCACAAGCCCTGCGAGCCGGATACCAGATCTTCATGCATTTCTGTTCATTCATGTGCCTTGCAGACTTTTCGATTGCACTCAACCGCGGCACCTTCGAGCAGCAGCTCAACAACACGTTTGATGCTGATATCGGGTACCTCGCATTCGGTGGCCTGCCTGCCAAAGTTCCAGTCGAAGAAACCTCGGTGACGGTGCCAATCCAGGGTATCTCGACGACGACTGGAGAGGCGTCTGCTGGTACAGGTGCAGCGTATCTCTGGTATACCATCGACGTCGAGTCATACACGTTCCCAGGGTTCAAGGACCTCGACACGGCCAGCGATATGACCATCCTTGACTCTGGAACGACGCTGAACCTGCTCCCGACGGCGGTCGCGGCGGCGTATGCGAATGGATTCAAGCTAAAGGCGACGTCGGACAATGAGTTTGGGCTCTACGCTGTGGACTGCTACGCGACCGTTCCAGAGTTCCTCGTCACTGTCGCTGGAGTGGCCTTCACAATTGATGCGGGAGACCAATTGCTGCCGACGATTAGACAAGATGGCTCGCTCACTTGCATCCTCAGGACTCAGGACGGCGGCCAGCCAGGAAATGGCAGCGTTTTCATCTTGGGAGACACCTTCCTCCACAATGTTGTCGCGACATTCAATCCCATCGACGCCGAGGTCACAATCACTCAACGTAGTACGTATTAGACTGTTACAAGAGATGTGCCTCAGTCTGAGGGAAGCCATGTGGAACGCCAGTGCTACATAGAGCCATGAAACGGTTGCGTGCTGATTTAGGAATGGCTGAACCTGAATCAATAGTTCCGTCGGAATCCCAAGCTTAAGACAGCTTAAGGTAAGGTGGTGTGAGGAACCATCAAATCCGGGTTATCCTGAAGTGATCTCAGGTAGCTCGCAGAGACCAGGTACTGAGATGATTTTCTAGCCTTTAAACCGACAAATAGCGTGTTCTCACATAGTGCTTGACTCATTTTTCAGGTGCGACATTGTCACGTGCATCAGTTATCTGCGAGATTTCTCGGGTATTCACCTGTTCAGGGTCCAGGGGAGCCCATTCCATCACCAGCCATCACCCTAGTCGCTCTAAAAGGAAATAACCCGAAGCCGAGGGTGGTTGCCATCTCGAATTGCGTTGGTCTCCCGGCGGCACACTTACCAAGCCATCTGGTAGAACTCCGACTGACAAACGCTGACCTTATCTGACGCGCCTCCAATCTGCCGCTGCCGAGTCTTCTGCAATCGTCATCGTCGTGCCGCTAGGGTGCTGGAGGAAATAAATGGCCTCCTGCGATCTGCTCTCCCCAACCTGCTTAGGCTACTGCTGCTCATGTCTTTCTTCGCACCTCCGCCTGCCCCGCCAACCAAACTTGGTCGTTATCGCACCCTCTCTCCACTCGCCGGCGTGCATGTGTCTCCACTTCAGCTCGGCGCGATGAGCATTGGCGACCAGTGGAACAAGCTCGGGCTCGGAGCAATGGACAAGACAGACAGCTTCAAGCTCCTCGACGCGTACTTTGACGCTGGCGGGAACTTCATCGACACTGCGAACAACTAGTTCGTCCGACTCTTCGGGAGCTCGCAGTCTTACCATACTCACATGTCGCTGCAGCCAGGATGAGACCTCTGAGAAGTTCATCGGCGAATGGGCTGAGCAGCGCGGGATTCGCGACCAGCTCGTGATCTCCACCAAGGTCGCTTTGCATTGTCGCTCTGCACAGATTCCTACGCTGATGTCTCGTCTAGTACACGATCCCTTTCAAGGCGCGCCAGGACGAGTACGCGCAGAAGGTAACCTACGGCGGCAACAACATCAAGTCGATGGTCGTCAGCGTGAACGAGAGTCTGAAGAAGCTGCGCACGTCCTACATCGACATCCTCTACTTGCATATGTGGGACTGGGACACGGGCGTCGCGGAAGTGATGAACGGACTGCACAATCTCGTCGTGCAGGGCAAGGTTCTGTACCTCGGCGTGTCCGACACCCCGGCGTGGATCGTTTCCCAGGCCAACCAGTACGCCATCGACCACGGCAAGTCGCCATTTGTCATCTACCAAGGCGCCTGGAACGTCATGGAGCGCTCGTTCGAGCGAGAGATTATCCCTATGGCCCGCGCCCACGGTCAGTGAAGTCAACTTCATCGCGGAGAGTTCCCCGCTAACTCGCACAAAGGTCTCGCTCTCGCCCCTTGGAACGTTCTCGGCGGCGGCAAGTTCCGCACAGATGCCGAGGAAGAGGCGCGTCGGGCTTCTGGAGAGAAAGGTCGAATGTGGGCTGGTGACTGGGAGCGCACAGATAACGAAAAGAAGATATCTCATGCGCTTGAGAAAGTCGCTAGTGAGGTCGGCACGACGAGCATCACAGCTGGTGCGCAAACATCTCTTGGTCATGGCGGCCACTGACCTATGCTTCCACAGTTGCTATTGCCTACATTCTCCAGAAGGTCCCCTACTGCTTCCCGATTATCGGTGGGCGCAAGATTGAGCACCTCAAAGATAACATTGAGGCGCTGGATATTTCCCTATCCGCCGATCAGATCGCCTTTCTGGAGAGTGTCGTCGCATTCGATCCTGGGTTCCCGAGTACAATGATTGTAGGCCCCTCTTCCGAACAAATCCCGGCAAGGCTGATCATCGTGCTCAGGGAAACGGCTCTGCCACAAATGGATTCTTACAGACTTCAGGCCACTTTGACCGTCTCCCTCTTCAGCAAGGGATCCGCCCCGCAACATGACAGTTGAGGGTCCTTATCCAGGGACTTCCCGCGAGATAACAGAGACCTTGATAAAGAAGTGGTCGCGGATCGGGAGCAATCACAATCACCATTGTAATATGAATGAACAACTCTAGGGCTCACACACGGGTAGCACTGACTTGGATCACATTTGTTTCTGCGAATTTACTGTGATACTTGCAGCGGTTTCAATCCACTCTGATGACAACCTTCCCAACGTGAGCCTGAGAAGCAAGATACTGATAGGCCGCCTTGGCTTCGTTGAACGGGAACACTTTGTCTACGACGGGACGAGTGACCGCTGGATTCGCTGCGATGAGCTTGTTCATGTTATTGAATCTGGTGTCCTTATTTCAATGTATAACGGTTCGGCGCAATAATCCACGTACTGTTGTACTGATCCAACCTGAATGCCGCGGATCTTTAGCGACTTGCGGATGCAAATGCCAATGATATCGGGCGCCGCGATGTTGTGGCCGCCAACGAAGCCGATGATGCTGATAGCCCCACCGATACGCAAAGCATTGATGGATTTCATGAGTGTGCCGTTGCCTCCGACCTGAAAATCATGAGCCTTGGGATGAACAAGTCACTGATGCGCACCTCGATGATGTGATCGACACCACGCCCGCTGGTGAGTCGTTTGATCTCTTCGTCCCAGTCCGGCGTCGTGTTGTAGTTGATAACGTGCTGCGCGCCGAGCTTGCTGGCGATCTTGAGCTTTTCGTCCGAAGAGGACGTACAGATCACCGTGGCGCCAGATGCGATTGCGAATTGGAGAGCGAAGCTGATAGCATTGAGGCACAAGGACTGGCGACTGCGATGGACACACTGACATCGACACACCACCCGTTCCCAGAACGAGGACTGTGTCTCCACCTTTCAAAGGCTCGTACCCGTCAAGGAGCGCGTTGTACGCCGTGAGCGCCGCACAGCTGACATCGCTGAGCACATGATCGGACGGAAAGGAAAAAACGCACGGCAGGGTCGACGCTTCCTCGTAGCTCAGGTGATCCGGAATCTTCACAAGCGCCTACACACCCAGGTGAGATTCATCCTAGTCTGGCACACGAGCAGGTGTAACCACATACTTGGGAAGGATACGCGCGATATTCGACCAGGGTCCCATCGACGGCTCCACCGAGCGCCGTCGCAGATATGGCTTCGGTCGTTTCATCCCCGAAGAGTTTCCCCAGCATGAAGTTCGGGCACACGCGATCCCCGACTTTCCAATCCTTGACGGCGTCGCCCACCGCAACAATTTCACCGGCGACGTCAGAGCACGGGATCAGATTGTCAGGCAAGCTAGCATATGGCATTGAGTGCGTTTCTAGAGACAAGTCTATGGCTGCGCGCACCGGCTAGGATAGGTGCCATTCGCCACGATCAGGTCGCGATACTGGAAGGCCAGTTGAAGAAACGATCCATTGCAGTTTATAACTGTGCGCACCTGCAGCGAGACGGCGTGTGCCTTGAGCAGGACCTCGGTCGGCTTGGGCTTGGGCACCGGTGCATCAGGGAGTAGCACCAGATTATCGAGGGAGCCAAGCTGCGGAGCGTGATTACACGCGCTTTCAACAAGTGTCAAATATCAGATTACCTTGGGGAATATATATTGTCGCGCAGTAGATGGGATAGGCATTGGAGATTCTGAGAGAGCGGAGGTCGAGCCATCGGTGCGATGATATACCACTAGATGACAAAGATGATCTTTCAATTACGCCATACTCTGGGATAAGAGATGCTCATGGCCCATGGTAGTCACGGGCGCCGCAGAATTGGGCTGTGAAAGTTGTGTGAGGGACCGAATGTAAATCGGGAAACCACCATCACCGCTACTACGTCAGAGCTTACAAATCCGGGAACAAGCGGACGGATAGCCTAGCCCCAGGGTTCTTGTTCTGACTGAGACAGTGCAGCTTAGATCTTCTCGTCATTTTTGCTGTTGGTTCATGTATCGGACTTTCCAAAGGTCTCCTTGTCCGTATGTTTTCGATCATCTCTAGCGCTCTCTCCCTGTTCGTTCAATCGGCCGACGTCAACGATGATCCACCGGCTACCCGTACTTCTGCTTACTTCGCTCTGAACTCAAGTCTCATCTCCTACTCCTGCAGTAACGGGCCCGGACCGCATCACCATGGCATACACAGTCCTCCTTCGCTTCCTCCCGCCGGAACTCGTTCTCATCGTGGTCGAACTCAGCGATCTGACCCACGTGGAGGACATACGAGCAGAGCGACTTGTAGCTGCAGCATCGCACGCTCCGCAAAACGATGCGCACCACGTCTATCTTGTGTCGAAACCTATTCTGCGTGGATACGGGCCAGCGGATGAGGTTATAGCTGAGGGTGGGATTCCGCTGCGAATCAAAAGCGTTGAGTATGACATCAAGAGTCGGGACCAGGGATGGTGTAGCGATGCTAGTCTTCAAGGTATGTATCATCGTACAAGCGCTCCGAGCCAGTCCCTCTTACCTCATTACAGGCACATACCGCGGCTCTAGCTGGTTCGAAGCTGCCATCCTGCGCCTTCCGGATGGCCACCGACCCGTATCTCACAAGAACTACGAACCCGACTTTGAGGTCCCAGTAACCAACGACGAAAATGCGACCCGTTGGCTGTTGCAAAAGAACTTTTGCGGCTCCAGCGACATTCGAGAACACTCTATCATTTGGAGCTCGGCAGAATCGCCCGCGGAATCCCCATGGCTTGAGACAGGTGCTGGTGATGGCGATGGTTTCGTGCAGAAACTGAGACATGGGGACTGCATTGCCGTCCTTGCGAGAGCGCGGGTAAGTTCTTCCGCACCTTTTTCCAATTGGCACTGACGTCTACCTCCAACAGTACCCTGGCTGGGTCAACCATGTCGAAAGCGTCAAAATCACAGTCACGTATGCCGTGGCATGAGGGCATGCAATTCATGGTGCGTGATAAGAGGAAGGACGCTCTGCCACAGTGTGGAAAGCATTGGCAACAGCCAAGACTACTGTCTGCTTCTCATGACCGATGTGAGCTCTCATGTAGCCTTTACATATCCGAGTCATGCTTGCAATCATGGACCCGCTTCCTTAAAGTCGACCGTATCTCCGGAGACCTGCACGCCCAATGGAGCAGTGGTATTAGCATCCCAAACATAGACAGTGAAGAAAGTCCATGCTTTGCGGGTCAGATGGCTGCCGTGCTCTTTCCAGTCCGATGAGGAAGTTCGACATCATCAAACGAATCCTTCGCAGTCTCAGTGCACGATCCAGATCCAGTGCTGAGATGTCTGACGCGTGGATTGTGATATGAATGGGGAAAAGATGGTCGACAAGAGCAGGGAATCAATCGTTGGAGGAGCACGTCCGATGGCGAGTGGCCGCGAAGAATTCAAAGAAGAGTTAGATGCTGCATGCAAAGATTCGCCTCCAAAACTCTTTTTGATGCAGACGTCCATTCTTTCCGTGAATTTCATCTCAGTCGAGGTAAAGACATTCTGTTACGTGGCGTTGGCATTGCCTGGCTAATCATCGATCTATCAGGATTTCATCGCAGACGACTCCTCCGACAGTCGTCGCGCAGACTACTTATTCCCTCAGAAGGATGCATCTTGGCTCACACATTGCCTAGACCGCGTCGCTCGCACATTATGAGTAAAGCGCTGCCATTCCCGAGGCGACATCGCTGATACGAGCTCTCGTAGATCCCGCGGGACAGATAGTGGAGGCGCTCAAGAGGTATTCTCAGCTTGCTTCGTGAGTCTCAATTCAACTGTGGTGATGAATTCTCTCATCTTGCGGCCGCCGGCGGCTTTTCAGGGTCTTCACCTGAAACCATCGATGGACACTCTCAACCTTGTCAGCCGAGAACGGAGGGTATACTAGAAGAGACATGAGCAACAGCAGCGACAAAGGGAAGCAGGAGAAAAGAACAGACTGTAGGTTCTCGGTGGAAAGGATGCAAGGAGCTTGGAAAGCAGTACCCGAGAATGGCAAGGTTTTGAAACCGTTCGAGGAGAGAGACATCTTGAAGCGGATGCTCGCGAATACTAGATCGAGAAGACGGATGGACTCTTGTTCTACGTCTGAAAGCGCCAGTCGAACTTCATCAGTTCTTCGAATGCGGCGCAGAGAGATCCATGCTGACAATGTCGTCTGACGCAACGACAAGCACGCGTTCGTTGCCCTAGGAGAGGTGTGAGATCTAAAAGCAAGATACCGCCAAATTGGCGAACTCACCAAGAAAGTATCGGACGGTTCATCCACGGTTTGAGGAAGATCGGCCTTGCTGGTCCGGAATCTGGATACTCGTGTCATGGTCGAAGTGAGATGACGGTCAGGATTGCGCGTCGGTCGTCAAATAGCGATGCCATGTGCAGCTTACTAGGGTCAAGGCTGCATGGACAGCAAGAAATACTACATTAGCATGATACTATCACACAAGAACTATGTGGGGGACACAGAATGAGATCGGAGCGTGAAAGCTCAGCTTCGAGCAGAGATGGTTTGCAACAGAGAATCCAAGAGGTAAACCGCAGACTCCGAATCCGCCAGTGTGCCCAACTCGTCTTCATCACGGTCCTTGTACATCTGGAGAAATTGATCGGCGGCACCAGACATCGCAGCAACACGGGCGCATGCAGCGCGGATGGCAATCAGCTGGGGATCAGGCAAATCCAGGCGAATGGGGACCTTAAGGCCGGCAGCATCTCGTTCCGCATCGGGATCAACGCGAAACTTCACTTGTCTGAGTGGCGTCGGCGTCTGGCCGAAGAAAACCCGTGGATTGCGCGCAACAACGTTGTAGGTGTGTTCCTGAATAACGGCGATCAGATTGGGTGAATTGGCGAAGAAAGCATATAAGGATTCACTTGTCCAGGAACAGCTTCTAACCAAAAGAGAAAGTGGTCAAAGTCCACATGTAAGTTCAGACACATGGTCATGACGTTGAACAAGTTATTGACACGTTTTCCGAGTAAGTTTTGTACCGCGGCTCCCAAGCCAAACATTTCCAGAATTGACAGCGCACTTGTCGCATAGTCTGGGTTCTGAATGAGATATGAGCAGGTCGCCATGGGTGTGAATGCAATTGGAAGTACACTGACAGATTGGGCCGTGGCGGAGAATAGGTGAACGACGTGGGTCCCGATGTTACTTACACCCTCTGCCGACGCTTTCGCTTCGAGCTCGGGAATGGTCTGGAGAGTATTGTTGTCGTATAAGCCCGTCAAAACGCATTTGTAACCATCCCGCAAAAGTGCCTAGACGTCTAGATAAGAAAAACCAGCATGCACATGATGAAGGACTCACATCAGCCTTGGCCTGAGATCGGGTCCTTCCTTCTCCAGGTTTGACGTTGGCCATATCGTTCAGTATTCTGGCTCTATGCTTTTCATAAGATGGACGGGAAGCGTGGGCAGATGGGGTCGGGACGCGATCGGTACGGGCGTAGACTGGGGACAATAATCACTATAACCAATAGCGAGGATGGGAGAGAAGCCGACTTACAGACGCGAAGGAGTTGATTTCGAAGATCCAAGCCCATGGTGAATATCTTCTCATTACACAAGGCGACTCCCACAGCGTCCTCAGGTGCCGTGGACACGTTACAGGAGAATACCTCTTTACACAATCGTGCGTACCCTGTACTCTGGCCGTGTTCCCAAAAATCCTTGATGAACCACCCTATGAGCCGAACAGCGACGACTTTGTCTTTATACATCGCCGTAGATTTGGGAAGTGCCAGAGCCACGCTTTCGGCGGAGAGGAGGAGATGCCACGCACTAACGCCTCTGGCGTCCAATCCGATCTCATTAGCAGGTGGAAGGGGCCAGCTTTGGCCCAAACGAGGGATGTGCGGGTAGGTCATGATGGTGGCGAGAAGGAAGAATCTGGTCTGTGACGGTGACAGTGTGACTGTAGTGATCAAGCAGGCTCAGGCGTGGAAACATCCTGTCCCGAAGAGGCACCTCGAAAATCAGAAAAGCGATTGGATATACAAACGATACATTTTTTCCGTACTGCTATTTGGGTATCTCAAGGTCGTGTATGTGCGCTTCCTAGAATCCTGTTCCGCCAGAGATCTAGATGCTCATTCAGAAGGCTGACACATCCGAATTTGAAAATCACCTACTGTAGCCTTGTTGGGTACGATGCTTGATCCCTTGCCGCCCGCCGTGACATCGAGACCCGAAAAGTCCCAGGTGCCGGAGCAGGCGCCGCAATCGACGACGACGGACATCGCGCTGCTGTCGACCGCGACGGTCGTCGTTCCGCCGTTGAAAGCGACGCCCGAGATGGGTCCGCCTGTTCCGGGAGTGCCGTCGTTTGCGGGGTAGCTCTGAGTGATCAGGACACCGTAGTCGGTGATGCCCGAGATCTTGTTTCTGCGGGCACGGTTAGATCACACTTTCGTCTTTCGGCACTCGGATAACACACGCTTCGTAGACAACACCGGAAACTTTGGCACCGGTGGCGCTGGCGTCGACCTTAATGCGGAGACCATACAAGCCCCCGGTGATCGTGTTTCGGGCAGCTTTGAAGTTGGTGACAGATTTTCCGGAAGCGATGGAGCCAATTGAGATGCCGTGACTGCCGGTGCAGGTCGTGTCTTCGACGATGATGCTGTCTCCAGAGTTGACAGCGACACAGTCGTCCTGGTTGATGACAGTGCACTGGGAAATCGTCACGCCTGATGCGCTAACGTCAAACCCGTCGGTATTGTGGCCAAGAGCGGCACCGGCGGCTGCCTCGATGTGAGTATCCAATGAGAAATCAAGGTTTTGCACTCAACAGTTATCGACAGTGACGTGTTGGATGACGCTTGCAGCGGTGGTTCCCACGGAGATGGCCTGGGCGGGAGAGTTGAGGACGGTCACGGAGGAGAAAGTCCCTGAGCCCTTGAATCTGAACACGCAGAATTAGCACTGGAGAGGATGATAAAATGGGCGGTTTTCTCGTACTTGACAAAGGGATGGGGTTTGGTCACGCCCCCGTTGGTCCCCTGGCCGTCCCAGTACGCAGCACCATTTCCCTGCATAGGTTGAGAATCAATTATTCCACAAAATATAATTCGAGAACCAACATTGATGTTATGGTTCCCCCCGTTGAAATTGATGTTCGCAGTGTTGAATGTGATGAGCGGACCCGAAGCTAAAGTAAATCATTTGGTCAGTCGATCCGTCGATCAACGAAAGAACCACGGACAAGTGGTCTTTGCAAAGGTGATGTCTCCTGTCATCGTAACGGTGGCGCCGCTGGCCGCCTGAAAAATACATTAAGGTAGTGAATAAACTGAGAGATCTAAGACATACCGCAATTGTAACAGTTGACCCGGAGGGAACGGTAAACGCTTCGATGACGACGCTAGTGCAACTTCCGAGGTTAGATGCGCTTGAGACGCTATTCACCGTGCAGGTGGCTCGCTTGGCGGTCTCGGTTCTCGTGACGTTGCTTGGCGCAGCAGCAGCTACAGCCACGAGAGCAGCGAGTCGGAGAATTGTAGACACAGAGATCATTGTTGGAACGCTGAGAGTTGTTGAACTGGAGTCCACATACATGCTCCTTGCGTCCTTTATAGGGAGTCCCTAGACGACCGTTGTGCACAGCGGTCCGCCAGTCTGCCTGGAGGCGGTCCGCTCGGGATCGTTTATTCGTTCGTACGAGCGTCACTACCACCCCCGGCAATCGCACATGTCCTTCGCCGAGGAGTAACCGTGCTCAAAGATCCAGGTGAGGGCTTGTCACGATGAATTTTCATCAGGAAAGGTTCACATGGTTTCCCTGGAGCCAACTGCTGACCATTCAAGCCCTGTATGTTTATCGCACCCGCGGGGAAATATTAGCATATGCACACGAATGACTGATGGGACACACATTTGGCATAGAGATCAAGCATTCGGGGATCTCCTTGCTCGCGAACTCAACGCATCACGGGAGCCTAGTCAGCACATGTTTCTCATTTGCCCAAACATGTTGTTATCCATGAATCGATCGAGAATATTGTATGCGTCGGTAGTGAATCGTGAAGTGGAAAGGGTCCGCTTCTCACGAGGTCGTGCGGGAGCCACTGTGAAAATGCATCCAGTCGCGACAAGACGACCTCCCAGTGAATCGATGACGTCTCTATGAGACTCGCGCCATAGAAAAGAGAGAATTCTGGAAGCCAAAACTGGTCATGAGCGAGTCCGGCTATGCCGCGTCGTGTTTCAGTGAGCTATTTTTGCACATCGAAGCGGTCCGACTGCTGCCGTCCCCGGTTACGTCTCGGCATTATTGGTCTCGAGATCGAGAAGCGGATAGAGAACCCGAAGCGAGACAAGATGAGCGCAGCCAATAGGTTGTGTCGATCTTATCCTAAATTTCTTCCTATGGGACAAAAAATGGTCCAAAGGCGGCTCGAAGAGCGGCCGATTAGTCAATGGCGCCCACAACGTATTCGCAGTTGCATGAGCCCAGGAGGATTGTGCCAGAGACCGAGAAGAAGTTGACCTAGTCTCTAGTGAGTGCGCCGCGAGACCTACTGCAGTCATGCTTTTCTGGTCAGTTGTTAATTTTGGTCAATCTGACCGCTGTCTGAAGAATCAGGGAGCTGGGACAGGCTTGAAATGGCTGGTAGCATCCGACATGCAACCGAAGCAGGCCGAGTGTCGAACAAATGTCCGTTAGTGGATCTAAGAAGATTCAGCAAGCTGAGAAATCGGACTAACAGAGCACATAACTTCTGCATTGATTCGATTAAGTTTATTTTTAGATGATGGACTATCAGTGAACTGCGGCCGAGTGGTTAGAACCTGTGTCAGAGGGTGTATGCCGTCGGCCGTTTTGACCGATCTGACAGCCTCCAGAACAGAGATTCGTGCCAGATAAACTATGTCCCAGGACCGCAGAACATGCCAGCAATCGGAGGACATGGCTGAGTAGTGTGGCCTTCAGCACTCAGAGTTTCGTTTCATCTTGTTCCCCAAAGGTGGACCAACAAGAGGCTCGTACTGTGAGCCTCAAAGACTCTTCAAACTTGTCGATATTTAACCGAAAGAGCGCATTAGAAGACAAGTGAGCGGTTGCCTTTCCGACGGCCAACTAGGGTGCCTAGTCGACCGGAGTGGCACATAGCAGATGATTGAGGTCTCATGGTTTTCACTCCTGTAGGGGCATAGGAATACTGCATGAGTCGCGAGTTTGCTGCGGAGTGAGTGTCAATGCGCCCTGCCAGGTCATCGCCCTCTACGAAAGCTGCTGATGCAGATCCAGGAGTTTTGGTCTATTATAAGATGTGAGCATCTGGGACCATGCATGTGTGGCGTCCGGTCATAAGGTCAAAGAACCCTAATCAGTGGCAATGGGAGAGGGACTGATCGTGGAAACCGACGGAGCATCCGTCTGACCGTCTCGACACCAGGACAGTTCGGTCAACGCAGTGGCTCGGTGTGATCCCAGTCTCGCGATTCCCAGGAATTCAGATAGATCTTTTCAGCAAACGTCCCAGAAACGAGTCGATGAAGTCGCTAGAGTAGACCAGGATCCTAGCAGGGGACAATCGATACGCTCTCGGTTGCACTCTCCATAGCTGATCAAATGAGCTGAGAAAACAGCGATAATAGCATCTCCACGCAGAAAGTTAAAGACCAGAGCCCTAGCGTGCTAAAGAGGAAAGACCAAAAGAGATGCGCGCAATCACCGTACATAGAGGCAAGCGTCGACTATGATGGCAGCCTACGGTAGTCGTTACCCGCCATGATGATTTTCGCACAAAAGATTGATCACTGATCACCTGCCTGCGTCACTATTCCTGATGCTTTGTGACTGGACCAGAAAACAGTATTGACCCTATACCGTCGCGCAACACGTGATGATGACACATCCCTGATGGGCGGCTTTCCCGCGCGATTTGTACCCTATACAGTGTCATCGTCGCGAGGACTTGTGCGTTTTGAGCGCAACAGAGTGTGGATAAGAGATAGATAAGATCAATTACAAGATAAATAATTGTTATTACAATCAAGATTGACTGGCGCCCATGGTATTATTGCTGTAGCGCCTTTCGGCTGCGTTCCCATTGATCCCCCAGACCGACCGCCTCACACGTCCAGTCTCGTTTGAGTGCCGGAAGTCAGTAACAAATTTACCTACGTCATTCCCGATCTTCCGCCTTTTAAGACTGCGCAGAAGGATCTGGGAGCCCTCGACATTACCAAGTTGACCTTCAACTATGTCTGCGGCTCGACGCATGTCTTCAACAAATTTCCGGCCATGTTCCTCCAATGCATCAAGCTATTTTGGTAGATATCAACAAAGACAGATCACGTGGGGATTACTAATCATTATCTTTTCTTATCTCCAGTCTAGATACTGTCACGGCCGTTTTAAAAGGCCCAACCCAAATTAGGAAGGTGCCATCAACCTCAGCTCAAATATATTTACAGCAGGTCTAGCGCACCAAATTCTAGCTAAAACTAATAAATTCATCCTAAATCCAAACAGAAGCAGACAACATATTGTGGACAATGGCCAGATTCTATCTAAACTTCAGTGATCAGCCAGTTGACGGCACTTCCCAGGCTCCTTCCCGATTTGGGTTGGGCCTTTTAAAACGGCCGTCACTGTACCTAATCTACACTCTGTTGCGCTCAAAACGCACAAGTCCTCGCGACGATGACACTGTATAGGGTACAAATCGCGCGGGAAAGCCGCCCATCAGGGATGTGTCATCATCACGTGTTGCGCGACGGTATAGGGTCAATACTGTTTTCTGGTCCAGTCACAAAGCATCAGGAATAGTGACGCAGGCAGGTGATCAGTGATCAATCTTTTGTGCGAAAATCATCATGGCGGGTAACGACTACCGTACAGCCGGATCATTCACCGACAGCACACTCTGACCTTAGCTATGAGGAGCTCGGCTGGGCTCGTGGCTGTCCTCTTTTGCGTCGCGCATGCCTCTGTAATCCAGCAGACCCCCTTACGAGCGCCTGCAGAGTCAAGCTACCTGGCCAATATACCCATCCCCACTCGTCCGCTGGAATGGGGAGACATAAACATTATCTCCACGACGGACACGCATGGATGGTGTGGCAGGTCTGCTTTGATGTACGCACTTTATCTTAAAGATCTTCAGGCTTCTGGGGCACCAGAAAAAGTCGTTCCCGGAGCCGAGTTACAGGTGCATTCCGGAGCTCTCACGACTTTCGTTCACGACCAAGATGCGTTTATAGTGGAACGTGGGGTGACTACTATTCCTTCGTGGAGCATATGAAGGGGCTGGCGGAGGCGGGTGGGCCCAAATAAGCACGTTTCGTCCATTGTCTGACAGGGTGTATAGGAAAAGGATGTCGACCTTCTGCTGGTGGATTCCGGAGACTTGCATGATGGTATGTACACCGGGCGCATTCTGAACGGACATAGTCTGATACTGGGAACGAAGGAACGGGTTTGACGGACGGGTTTCCTGCGGGGGGAGTGGACGCTCGAGATGTGTGTGCCCGATTGCCCGGATTGGATCTGCGCTGACTTCGGTTTCTCAGTCCAACGAGTTTTTCAAGCAAATGCCATATGACGTTCTTGCAATTGGAAAGTGAGTGCTCTACTTGGATGTTACAATCCTTGCCGCTCAGTGATTAGTCCAGCCACGAACTCTACACGTACGCGAACACTTTGGACATGTGCGCTGCAGCCAATCCTACATCTTTTTCCTCGCTCTTATCGTACACAGGCACACCAACTTTGCGAAGCATTTCGGCGAACGATATCTCTCATCCAACGTGAATATCACCATTTTCGACGCCAATAACCAGACTGTCAGCGTTCCCGTTGGAAGTACGTTTCCGTGTCTGTACTCTCATACTTTCGTCTTATGGTTTCTGCGGATCGATATCGCAAGTTCAAGACACGTAAGGGCCGGCGAGTGACCTCGTTTGGCGTCCTATTTGACTTCGAGGGAAACGATATGAATACGACTGTCCAGAAGGTCGAATCCATGGTGCAGGAATCTTGGGTACGTCGTCACCGTCTTATCTATCATGGCGGCGCCGATACCCTTCAGTTTCTTCAAGCCATTCAGGAAGAACCGGATCTGTTCCTTCTCGTTGGGTGCGTCCGGTTTTGCGAGTGCGATAAGCCCACTGATTGTCCATAGACATATGCCAGCACAGAACGATGTGAGCAAATGTATGCTCACATTCCCTGCATCATCTTTCCACAATCTGATGCGCATCAGGGCCTTTGGTTTCTTCGGCTATTCGCAAAGTCCACCCCACCACACCAATCATGATCTTCGGAGGTGCACTCATTATGCGCTTTGGATATAGCAGACACTCACCCTGGCGACAGGACATCTCCACATCCGGGACTGCAGTCAGTCGAGCACGCTGGGCGCAGTGACAGTGCTAATGATGGATGCCCTTCAGTGCAGCTCGATGACTATTCGATGTCAATCGCAAGCGGAAGATATATGGAGACTCTCGGTTTGTCAGACCTGCCGCAGGTGCCAGCCTTTCTCATCTCTTTGTAGGTTGGATGAGTGTCAGGCTTGATGTCAGCAAGCCCATCTTCAATCGCCGTTACTTGGACCCGAATGTCAACACATACATGGTCTGTTCACATCATCACCGTCAATGGATACTTGCTTATTGTTTGCCAGTATCATTCTGGCCGAACGCTTGATGATTTCGAGACACCCAAGGGACGAGATATCACAGCGGGTCTCAACGAGCTGGCAGACCGGTTTGGGCTGACGCATGTCTTTGGCTCGGCGCCTCAGGATTATACCTTAAGCCGGTGAGCTCCGACTGCTGACATGCAGCGAAGAGCTTACATTCGGACAGAGCGCCGTACCCATCCAACGCTTCGCTCCAAACACTAATCGTGGAAGAGGTGCGTTGTTGTCAGCGTCATAACGTATCCGCGTGTTCCTGACGCGGTTCAGGTCGTGCCGACAGTACTTACAATGAACTCCGATCGATCAGGATTACCTTTCCTATTCATTAACAGCGGGGGATCCCAGCGGTTTGATATCTTGCAAGGGCCATTCACGTCTAACGATCAGGTGGGTTTGTGAATCTTCAAGATGGCACTTTTACTCATGATGTCCAGTTCACGGCGACACCATTTGTCAACCAATATCTATTCATTCCGAATATCCCATTCTCCGTTGCGATGAAACTGACCCCAGCCATGAATGCGGCTGGCGCCGAGAGATTCTGGGACGCGGAAGACACCATGTGGGCCACGGAGCTGAACGTCGAACGGCAGTACGTCAGGTCGCTGATGGCTGGTGCGAGACTGCAGAGTGAGGAGGAAGAGCTAACGCTAGGATACGTTACCAGCGATGTGCGTGGTTCACTTTTCTTCTTGCGCCCACTTCATTGTCCAATCAGAGCTGTCCCGGGGATGGCGACGACATCAAACATACACCTGTCCCCGTTTATCCATTCCCCGACTTCGTCGAATCCGTGGCACCCGTTGTCTCAGACCCGGATGCGCCCATCGATCTCATATTTGTCGACTTCATACGGGCACAGCTCATCCGCACGTTGAATGAAGTGCAGAACGAGCGTGTGTACTCGATGAAGGACGCCGGAATCTACAGCCCGGTAAGGACGAACGAAGTGCTTGGGATCTATGCGTCTGCCCTATGGAACACGGACACGTCATGATATAGAATTTATAGAGGACTAGAGCGCCGCCTCCGCCGGCAGAAGCCTTGCTTGCTCTTGCATTTTTTTCTTACAAGCACCAACTCAATAGCAGTCACAAGTTACAATAGAAACGATACAATTACAATGATTTGTATGCAACCCCTCATTTTGAGCGGGTCTTCTTGGCAGGGCTGGAACCCAAGTCGACTTTCACAGCCCAGCGGCGCTTTTTCGGAGACACAGCGAGCTGGCGTCGTTCTTCAATGACACGTATTTTGACGATGTTCGCTGTGAAGTGGTCGCGCTTGTGTTCTTTGAACGCCCAGTGCGTCAATTCAAACGTCAGCGCAACGGTGGCACCCGGCAACAGGCTCATGTACTCTTCTGGCTCCATCAATTGCCCATCAAACGTGTACGCAGGCAGTCTATTGATGACCAATTTCCCGGTGGTCTCGATCTCCTCGAGGGCGGCTCACGCCGCTTCGTGTTTCGTTGGCCACAATCCAAAGTCATAACCTGTCTCGGCGTCAGACTCTAACCCCTCTGCCACCGCAGCACGTATAGCCTTCGTGACGATACATACACGTGAAGGAACAAAGCATAAACGATGGAATGAGGGTCAAACGAGAGACTGCACAAATACATGCGGAATGATACGGAACATCGGATCAAACCGCGTGCAACCGGATCAAACGAATTATGAGGGTGGAGAAGCCTTGACAAGCAAGGCAATAGATAGACCAATCGCCGCTGCTTCACATTTATTTACTCCTATTCGATGTCCTTGTCAACTATTTATCGTGTTCTGTTCCAAGTTTGGGCGCTGAAAGTTTTCTGATGATCAGGGTCGAACAACTAACACTCAGCTGCATTGATGAGCGTGGCTGCCGTTCAAGTCGCGTTACTGGCCCCGACCGCGATCAAACACGGATGGGCTATCATGGTATCTCTTCATTGCCAGCCCATTCTATTGTCACGGTCGAAACTGTTCTATGCGATCGATGTGGACATCTGTTGATATGCCGATTGGCCATCATCTCTACCGTGACGGTCATGCACTCTTCAAGTCCGTTCGAAGATCCTCAAAGACCGAAATCGGCTTTATCTCAACGCTATCCACGCCCTCCGTCTAGTGCCCTCCGTCGACCACTATCCAGCGCCTCGAACCGTCCGCCATCTAGTCATTCTGCTCGACCCTTCTCGCGCCTCTCTCAGCGTCCCAACTCGCGACATGCTCGATCCAAGCTCCTCCCCCTTTGCTCAACGCTTGTCACTCAAATGACAGGGCTGACTGAGCAATCTAGCGACGACGATGTTTTCCAGAACGCGCTGGAGCACGCGGTGAAGAGTTTGGAGAGTACAACACTCAATAAAGCGGCCGCCACCGTCGATTTAGGCGTCATCGACCGACAAGTTCACGGGTGAGTGTATACTCGAGTGCGTGAACCTCATTCAAACAGTTCAGACGCGTGCAGAAGGCGAAAATTCACTCACAGGACGCCCTTGCAGAGGCGTTGAAGACGTGCTATATGCGACTGAAGCAGCAGGCTGGGAAGGATAAGGATCTAGACGGGGAGATTCAGGTATGTATCCGTGCGAATCGAGGACACGTTTCTGAGCTTGTTCCAGAGGTCTCGTCTCCCGGACCATCTTCAGTTTCTGGTCAGTTTCTGCCAATCCGTGTACTGTTCAGAAGGTTAATTGCTTCCAGATAGCGCTCTCTGCTTCGGTCACCCCGACAACCTTGGCTTATGCCGAACTTTATCTCGAGGGGATTCAAAATCCACCCTCAGTCACGGCCCCATTGACCTGGGCGGATGTCTTCGGTGACGAGTCGGAAGACGACATGGGCGCAAAGAGTGATAGCAGCGGAGCCTCACTTTCCCCTGACGATTATCTGGATGAAGATGAGCACGAAGACGAATCTCTTTCTTCCTGGAGTGACGAAGAGGAGCCCGATCGTCCTGTCGACCAACCTGTCGCTGGACCCTCCCATCGACTGGTTCACTCTCTATCACATCGTCATGAGGTGGAGCAACTGCAAGCGAAACAGTACTGGAGAGACGATTATGTCCGGCCGAGCAATCTGCGAGACAGAGCTCCCGAGTTCGATATCGCAGATGCGGAGACGTTGGGTATGCGTTACCGCCCGTGATCCGTTCTTGCGCTGACTCATTTCTGTAGGCCCTGCTTTGAAATCTGTTCTGGCGCAGGAGCTGGGTGCGACTGACATCCAGCGGGAGGTAACTTTTCTCCTTCTCTAATGTTTCTCGACCGCTGATGGACAGCGTAGACATACATTGACGAAAAAGACATGGTACGAGAGCTCTTGATAGCTTCTCAAGGTCGCAAGAATATGTTGCTGGAATTCGTCAACGGGTCGTTCCAGGTTTGTCACGACTGCTTGCCACGGACCACATCTGACAGCACCTTCATAGATCAACTCTGCGGCGCCTCGGCTAAGTCATCTATCGCTCACCTCACAAACTTCCTTGTTATCCTATATCGCCAAAATTGCTACATTAGCTCACCATCTACGCGATTTTGTTGCTTTCGTCTTCTCATCATCGAGCTCAATAGCAAATCGCCGCGGCACCCAAATGACACGAACTATGGAAGCATTCGCCGACGCTATCGACACTGAAATCCGCAGTCTGAACCAATGGTGTGCCGCACGAGAAGAAGTCATGGCTTGTGTGCCAGCCTCTGGGAAACTCGTCGTTAGCCTGCTCAGCACTCAAAAGGCGCTCCAAGATGAATTTGCCGACGGCGTCCATGCACTGATCGACATTGTTGCTGTCGTGAGCATTCGCGAGTACAGGGCATATGTGCTCAAAGAGCAGACGACCGCCATTCTGTTAGATGCGTTGCTGGATAGGGTGCAGGTCTATCGGGATCGAGGGGATAGTTTGACTGCGAACATGCTTTTACGCGTGTTCGGTCGGTGTGCAGAGCCGATCTGGGCAATGACCGCTCGCTGGTTGCGAGTCGGCATGAGCCTCGTTGGCAAGGATGAACTCGAGGAGGAGTTCTTCATCGAAGCGAGTGGGCTGGCTGTTAATCTGCCTGGGATAGGCGGTGGACTGCTCGATCCGGAGTTCTGGGCGGAAGGATATCTGTTACGGAATGAAACAACTATCCCCTCTTTTCTTGCGCATGCAGTCGCTCTGATACTGGGCACAGGCAAAGCTGTGGGCTTACTGCGAGCGCTAGGTGTCTCTCCACCCGAAATGGGACTGCGCCCCTTCAAGGATCTCCTCGACCAGCAGCATTCTGCGCAAGCGCTCTCCCGGTTAGTTCACGAAGAATTGTCGCCTCATTACAAGGTCGCCGGCAGTCTTCTTTGTCGGACGTTGGTGAACGAATGCGATCTCCACCTCCATCTCTCTGCCGTGGAAGATTTGTACTTGATGCGAAGGGGTGACGCGATGAGTCACTTTACAGATGTCGTGTTTGCCAAGGTTCGCGGCCAGTCTTCTTTGAAACGCTCTAAAGGCTCAGATTCTTGCAGATGGACAGTAGCCAAGCGTGGGGCGACTTCCATTTCCTCAACACCGCCTTTCGCGATGTCGCTGAAGTAGGAACAGAGTGGATCCAACCCTCTCTTGTACGCCTTTCCTACCGTGGCACCAGTGGCAATCGTTCGATTAAAGCATTGAACAACCTTCTCGTCGAATACGCCGTATCGTTTCCCGTTGCATACATCTTCTCTCCGGCGATTCTGCAAATCTACGGCGATGTGTTTACTTTACTGCTCCAGATCCGGAGAGCGAAGAGTCTCTTGGATCGAATTTTGGTGCGTAGAGGTGTCGTGGACGAGATGAAGGCCTTCTATGCAGTGCGGAGCAGGTTGAGCTGGTTTATCAAGTTTGTTCCCTTGTTCCACGTTCTTTCTTCGAGGCTGAAATCTTCGCAGCACTTTACTTGATTTCTTCACGACCCACGTTATTCACGTTCAGCTGGTCAAGTTCCATGAAACCTTCAAGAAGACTAGGTCCCTGGACGAGATGATCGAACTGCATAACCAGCAGTAAGTCATAGCATGTCGAGTCCGAGGCAAAAAGCTGACTTTCTTATAGCATCGAGAACGTTCATAGCCGTTGCCTGCTGCAACCCAAGACTTCTGCTCTCCACCGTGCCATTCTATCGTCACTTGAATTGGCGGTTCAGTTCTGTGACACTTTCGTCAGCCTCTCTGGAAATAACACCCTCGATGTCTCGCGCCAATCCATCTTGTCGACGCGTCATCGGAGTCGGCGGCAGAATGCCAAACGACGGAACGTTGTCGGATTTGCCTCCTCAGGGATTCGAGACGAAGACAGCTCTGAGGAAGATGACGGAGATGAATTGGACCCGGAGGCACATGCGGATGATGTTTCGGAAACTGAATCTTTGGCCGAAGAGACCCCCATCGACAAACTGGCGTCGCAGCTGGACGGCTTGGTCAGATTTGTCAGACGAGGAGTAGAGGGACTCTCCGGTAGCACTGATGATGATGCCAGCACATTCAGTGTTCTCTCGTTTGCTTTGGAAGATTGGGACTTATGATACGGTACTCCAGAATCGAGATGTCTACTCGTTTCGTGTACGGGACTCGGGGGGCTCTCACAACGATGTTCAATTTCCCCACATTCCCTGATATTCACAATACTTGGGGGCCGCACTGGAGTGTATGCACCTGACTCTCTATGTGGTGAATGCATCCATCCATTCATCCAGTGTAAACTAACGATCATTACATGATATCATGTTTCTAAGTCTCACGCTCTGCTCTTGCTCGTCCACCATATCGAGTAGTGCTTTTGCTGCGCCGACGCAGTCACGACTGCAACATCGTCAGTGTCAACAATCCCCTTGCATGTCTACAGAGTGGTACGTGGCATACGTGCTTTTTCACGCTCAGGAGCTCCAGTTTTCCGCCGTGACAATAAGTCTTAACGCTGGGTTTTGTGTAAGAACTGAAGAGTCCATCGAGTCGCAGGGCGAGAGGAGCACTTGAGCACTGGCAATCCGTGGACCGCCATACGTTCTCCATCTCTCTTTCGCTTCACGGCTGTTCTCACATTCGCTTGACCAGTTTCGCCGAGTCCTTCCGTCTCTGCGGTATACAGACCTGTTATGACCCGCATTATCGGCATGCAGTTCCTGGAAGCGAAGCGATATAAGCTCTTCTCTCTTATCCGTGCGTTGCATTGATCTTCAGTAGCCGTAATGCGTAATGAACATCTGCATTCCTTTAGCTTCTCTTACTCATCTTGTTTTAGGACGCAGAATGAATATATGAAAATATAAGAACAACAACAGTGTCCCTCAAGTACCCTCATCGGCCACTGCAGACGCAGCAGCTAGTATTACATCGCCAGATTGCCGAAAATGGCCCGTGGCTTGGATCCCGTATGTGGACGAGTGACCGCGTATGGCACCCTCGGCTGTTTTGTGGCATGAATGCAGCCAGATTCATTCTCCTTGTCCCGAGCGACATCGACGCCCCAGTATTCAAATGCACGATTCTTCCCCTCGTCGTCAATCCGACTGCGGTGGGTGGCGCGAGCGCGGCGAGTGGGAATAGAGAGTTCATGCGACAAGGGAGTGCTGGGGCGGATTGGAAGATGTGTCGTGTCGGCGTCACCCCCTCTGTCTCCGGGTCCAAACAATAATTCGAGCGTATTTGTATGCCGCTCTGCCTGGTTGTCCACCGAATCTTGGTCATCTCCCGCACGTACAATTCGACCCTCCGGCGGCAAACTTGTGGCCGCTTCATGGTGCACTAATCTTCTGTGAGTGGCTTCGGCGAGGATGTGCTCAAAGAAACACTCGGCATCGTCGATCTCCGGGATAATCCCTCGAGGGACTGAGAACATCGCACGACGCAGGTCTGGATCCATGTCCTCGATACTCGTATTGTTGAACGACAGCCACTGGAAATGAGCACGCTGATAGGCCAACTCGGCCTCGAGGATCGCTGCGCTGCGCTGGACGGTCTGGATGCTTTCTGAATATCCAATAGCCGCAAAGTGCCCTTCGATTCGGGCGCAGACGCTTGCACGCGCGAGGTCCTTGACCTCCGGGACAGCTTCCTTGATGATGTGATCGTCTGTGAGGTGTATAGGCTCAGGCGTAGCCGTGCGTCTGCGTTGACAGTTTATGCCTGTCAGCTAGCGATACATGAGTGGGTGTCGGTTAGTCGGAAGAAACTAGGAGAACTTACCGAGCTGCTGCTGTACGGCAACTCTACCAGCATAGTATCAGGTGACAACTTGACCTTTTTTGTGACGACGGGTGTTGGGTGTTCCAGAATTCTGAGCCAATCTACACTAGCAGCTAAATCTATGTTCACCGAGCCTCCTCCGATTTAATTGATTCCATCATACCATTGTTCGTCCAGAAGACAAGCCATCCGCGGGATTCTTCTCGAGCCTTGACATGGGGGCATCTGTCCATAGAACAAAATCCAGTCGCCTATCGTGAATCCAGACAATGACTATCCGGTATCCAGATATGGCCATGCTATCATGTTTATCACGATCACGTGCCTTGTTTCGTTACCCATGCGCGTCTCTGAGCTTGAAATAAGAATCACTGAGCCCTGAGGGTGCTTTCTATTCTGTTAATAATGGCAATTAACGCGTCAAGCGTAAACGAATCGGCGGAAGCATGCCCTGAGCATGAGCAGACAATGTATCGAAGCCGTCGCTCGAAAGAACAATTCATTGTCTACCCCGGATTCGATGGGGCCCAGGAAGCATATATAAAGGACGTTCTAGTTTCTTGAGGCTCAACAGACCAGTTCAGCTATGCCGAGCATCCTCCTCTCCACGCCCACCCGCGCCGCGGCTCGCATGCTTCGCGTTGCCTTCTCGGCCATATCGGACGAGTCACTCTCTGGCCAGTCCCTTGGGGGCTCCAAGTCGGCTTCGTCGTCTGAGCATATACCCCGGGGCGAGTGGTCTGCTAGCAAAGTACGTGAGGATCCGTTCTGCGTTGTTTCCGTCCTTGCTCACGATTACTCAGCGCACGAAATCTGTGTTCCAAAAGGGTCGTGAAAAGTGGGATTTCTTCACCCAAAAGTACGTGGGCTCTGTCTGATCTCAATACACATTGAAGCTAATTCTCTCGTCAGCATCGTTCCCACCAAACCATTTGTGACGGTCTCTCCTTCGTTCCCCCCGACTCATCAACCCCGCCCCCGAATCGAAGAACCGGGCCGTTGGCAGAGCCCATACTTATCTCCGATCGTGAATCCTGGAGATGCGTGGGAGGCGGATTATAATTTCGAGAACGAGGATTATTGAGATCCACCACTCGACTTGGACTAGTCTTGCTATCCATGAATGATCTTGAATACACTGATGCTCAAACAAACTCAGGGCGAAGTACCGCAACGGTTTGCGGGAATGTATCGCCACGAGCGGAAGACTGGCGGTTGACTCTGCCTGGCACTGTCGCGCTAAGGCAGTACTCCGCCAGTGGATTTCGGACCCCTAGGCCATGGACCGATTCACTCGAGACGGGGCTTCAGAACTCCGCGCATGCTGGTCGTCGTGAGATTGATTCGTTGAGTTGGAGGTTAGGCTCATGCCGACCTTTCATTGCATTTGGGACGTCCCGCACACCAGATTCAGCACCGACTGTGTCAGTCATCCATAACCCCCTCCCTAAGACCCTGATCTACAGTCTTGATGTGTCGTGTCGCAAAGTTAAGGCGCAAGCGAGTGTGAGCCAAAGCAGTTCGCGCCTGTCGATCGGATTTCCCCGGGCACCCTGGACACCCTACATGAAGCCCTTTTTATCACGCCAGAACACATGGTAGACATCCGGAAGATCCAGATCTCTGAGCGCTTCTTCTCACTGAGCAGACGTCTTGGTTCGATCCATTGCGTCATTTCAGTCCTACTAGCTGAAGCTCAGTACCGGCTCGTCTATCACCGAAACCGACTAACATTCAAAACCGCATCCATGAACGGCATGCCGATACGCAGCACTTTATATGGACTGGGAATCCTGTCACCGGCGAAATCAGCGTTGCAATGGATACGGGCGGCGCCACTCACTCTGTGACTTTGTCGACCGCCGACCTGCAGACCAGCCCAGGCCAACAGCTCAAGCATCTGACTGTGAGAATGGAGATCCACATTTCGATGTTCGTCGCAAGAGCGAGGCCAAGATGGCTTGGACCTCCGATAACGAATTGTTTATTCGTTCAGACAGTGGTTTCATCGTAGCAGCCGTGTTCCAAAGCATGGTTAGAGGACGAAAACAACTCCGAGGCGTGAACGAGAATGGTGAAGCGAGGTAGCTTGCGACGCCGGCTGCTAGCAGCATTCGGGCTCGATGCTGCCCCGGTAGCCTAGATCTGTGGGTAGATCAGTCCCAAGCTGGCATTGAGACTGTATGCAGAGTATGAGCATGTCGTCGACGACGATCGGATTAAACAGGGTGTGCGCACCCGAACTTCACTCGGAGCTCAATGGATGTGACTGCTAGCCCTGGATGCCATCGAGAAGAGTTTCAGATCGGGATACCGTATGGGCGGGCGCTACTGCGTATACATGCGATGCATGTCCTCCACGCACTCGTGAGAGCGGCAAACACCAGGAAAGACAACCTCGTGTAGCATACCCTAGTCGGACATAGTAATGGGTATCCCAAATCAGCTAACGCGTGTGTCTGATCTAGTTAGACGCAGACAAAGCTGGCTTATGACTTGTACCCACCTCGGCCCAAGCTCGTGCCTGCTTCCCACCCGCATTACTCCGCAGCCCATCCAAGGAACGAGAGGAGTTGAGTGTAACCACTGTGTACCATGAGCACCTATCCAAAGACCGCTGAAAGCTGCACGCACAGCTTATCCAATCCCGTTCAGAACCGTGGAGAAGGCAGCCAACGAGGTTTCTTGAAGAATTGCGGTTATGAGTCAGTCTCGTCTTCCGGCCACAGGCAGGCAGGGAAGAGGGCGCGGATGTCATCGTCTATTCAGCGGCTAGAAGGTCGGCGATCGGATCGTCCTTCGATGCCACATGCTCATCGAGCCGTTGGGAGAGTCCCAGAGTTTTGCATTCATGTTTCAATGGTGGATGAAGAACCGAGAGTCTGGGTAGAGCGGCCAAGGAAAGGATGGGGAGAGTTTTTTTTGGTGTCCTAGATATCCCAAAGACACGCATGAGAACATGGTAGTTGATGTATTTTCGAGAAGCTGACCTGCGGAGCAAAACCCTCTTCATGAGCCCTGTGGTAGCGGAAGAACACCACTCCTAGAGTCTAGACGGCATGGACAGGGTCGGTATGGATCGCAGCAGGGTGATCGACGCCCAGGGCAAAGCAGTCACGATCACGTGCGTGTGCTCTCTGATAGGCAAGTGACGCGCATGCCTTCTGGCTTAGCCCCAGTCATGTCCATCGACCAGGCAAGGCCCCGGTTCTAGTTTTTGGAATATAAGAAACCGTCCTTGAGCTCTTAGCTAGATTGATCTCCGCGTCCTCTCAGAGTTGTCATGCTACACGTGGAATTGTAACCAGTCGCTGCTTCATTGAAGGTGCCCTGATTCAGAAGATATGCCGGAATGCAAGGATTTAGAAGTCCTCTCTCGGCCTCTATGATGTGGACATAAGCTCGCTCCAATTAGAGTTTAGTAGCGCCTCACGCATTGCACGCGGCTTCGAGATGCGTGTCTAGCCATACGTCAAGTCACCGGTACATAAGAAGACACCAGGGATCCATCTTACCGCGCAATACCCTACTTTGGCCCCTATGAAGACCTACGAATCCGACCCCTTCAACGCTGACCCCGCGACCCAGTCGTTCATCCCGAGCGCAAAAGCAGAGCATGGTTTCTATCATCGACTGCATCTCCCGCCTATGCATCTCAACATCCACATCCCAAGTGTGTGCTAATGGTCTAGACTGATTGTATACTTTGGTTGACCCTTGTCTCAGATCTCGTGGCACTGAGGACTCGGCAACGAAAGCGCCGCCATCCTCTGACGACGGAGAGTGTGCAGATACTATCCTCGGCCACACAGCTCGACGCAGGCACTTCTGAGGAAGAAGAAGACAAAAAGACGATTGGCGCAACATCTTTAAAAGACGGTGGGATGAATAGGTGGTACCGGCCACAAACAAGATCATCCGCATAATCATCATCGATTCAGATGACCGACTTGACACATTATTTCATCCTAAGTACTGTATCGCAGAGAGGGTTAATTACACATGTGGATGGTTCATGAAGGAGACTATTTTTGCTCTAAATGGTGTTAGCGCTTTCTTCAGCCTTCAATTCACCCTCGCTTTTGCTGAAGCCGTCTGCTTGATGAGTCGGTATGATACCGGCTTCAACTGAGATCAAGTACGCTGGACAACATCAGAGTGTGTACTGATCCACTGTCCTTCCGGTCTTCCCCTGCTACCGAACATCGAAAACGAGGAAGCTTGGTAATCCCAATACATACGTGAAAAGTCGCATTTACACTGCCAGACCGTGCACGAATATGGTCGTGATGACAACGTTATGTGTGTACCTTCGCGCGGCAAAAAAAAAGTTAGAGCAAGGCCTGCACAAATCTCAACAACGACGCGAGCAGGACTTGAACCTGCGCTCGGAAACCGAAACAGATAGGGATACCCAGAGCACAGAGTGATACCGGGAAGGTATTCTAATCTGTCGCCTTAACCACTCGGCCATCGCGCCTCCACTCCAAACTGAACAGTGGAATGCCTGGAGACCCTCTCAAAACGATTTTGATCAGCGCCAGTGAAAGGCAAACTTAGTGACTGGAAACTCGACAGCATTCTGGTCCAAAAAGACCAAGAATGGTTCATTGTAAGATAAAATTACAACGTTTACACAAGGCGAGTACTGTATCATGATAAATATCACTTTATAATCTTAAGTACTGTGCGCGAGAGGTCAGACAGCCGTTTCAGCGCAAGGTAGGATCCAGCGGCGGATTTTTCGGAGGCTGTGAACCTGGCGGCACTTGGTAGTATGTCCAGCTCTGTTGAGCTGACGGCTGCGTGTAACAACGACTCGGGTAGTGCCCTCGTCCTGCACCAGGACTCGGAGCTGGAACTGTTTCGGTGGTTGCGGCAAACACTGACGGAGTTTCTATATTCGGATGGATCCAATGCTTGAAGTTGTCCCGTGGTGCTGCTGTCGTTGATGAAGGTCGAGGGTTTTCAGAAGGCGCTACGCGAGCACTGGCTATAGCCGAAGAGCTCGTTATCGTAGTCGGGGTTGGTGTGACAGAACTTGGGCCAGCGACAGCATTGCTGTTGTCCACTGTTCCGGGTCCAAAGACAATCGCCGACCACTTGAATTCGCGCACCCCGCCCAGATTCCACGAGACCTGGATGCTCTTCTTCTCTTCCAGCACCTTCAATAGCGTGACTTCGAACATGCCAGAGCTCATCCGCAACTTGATACGAGCCAAAGGCGGCAGAGCCAATACGTCGTCCCGCAGATTCCGTTGCTTCGAAGCCCGGCGCTCGTCAATCACAGCCTGAACATTGTCAGCGACCATCATTCCTTAAGCAAGACGATACTGACCGGATTATGCTGCGGACACATTGTCTCCACCTCGATCTTCTTGATGGTCTTCAGCACATGCATGTCAGAGTCGGCGCACGTTGGCTCCAATAAGACGACCTCTTTCTCAACCTCGTTTACCACAGTGTAGGCAACTCTGGGGTCGTCTCGGGCGCAGTTGATGTGAAACGCTTTGGAGCACTTGCCCTTAGTGCATTGGATAAGAGCACCATGACTTTTGGCACGATGCCGTGTGCACACCGAGCATTTCTACCCTCGGGTGAGAAAAGGAGACAGAGAATCGCCGCTACTCACCAAGGTCCATCGCCCGCGAACGATACCGTCCACCCCGAACACGAACCGCTCGCCATTCACGTCATCCACCCATGTGTCCGGCAGGACCATCGCGCATGACTCGTGAGCCATCCAGACACCCAAGCCGCCGGTGCTGTCAGGGAAATGGATCCTCGCAGCCGAGCCCAGCTCTCGCCAGGCCATCGGCAGATCATGTACTCGCACCAGATCCTCCGTGCCGTGGTCAACGCATAGACAGCATGGGAAGATGTCCTCCTCAAAGGTCGCACCAGATGCCAACCCGAGCTTCAAAGTCACTTTTTCGACGGCAGATTTGTGCGTCTTCGCAGGCTTGGCTCGCTTCACTGGTGGCCCTTCCGGATCGAATGGAATGGGTGCCTTGCGCTTACGATCACTGCGTGGCTTCGCGGGCTGAGTAGGCTCTGTGGCGGGAGCAGCCACCAAACCGGCTTCCCGTTCGGCTGCACGATCCGCCAGAAGCTGGTCTACGTCGATGCGCACGCTAAAGTCGACACAAGCACAGGCACCAGCTTTGCGCCCTTCGTCCAACCAGCTATCCAGAGCAAAGTTGACGCTCTCAGCGCAATTTAGGCCCAGGTTGAATCCGGCATGGTACCCTCGAGGATAGGTGATCACGAACTCTCCCGCGTGCTGAACGAGGTGGTTGGCTCGCACAGCAGATTGCGCTAGAAGAGTAGGGGACGCGAGAAACGACTTGTGACGGAGGAACTGCGGACAATGGGACGTGTCTTTGGGGAAGTATCCGCGCATGGTGCTTTCCAACGCATTGGCACGGGCCTGAGGGACAGCGTACCAGAACTTGGGCGCGCCGAAGTGAATGTAGTTGATTGAGAACAGGTCCATGTCCTCCACGTGCCAAGCGAATGTGGCCCGCCACATCCCGAAGTAGAGATATGGAGTATTGACGCCGGGGAGTCCTTGCGCGGAGGGCAGCAGACGTGATAGTGTTGATGGTAGGTGGGCTACGTTCCACGATCGTGTATCGTCGGTGAATAGAGAACCTGAGATGTGTCAATAGCCGTGCGGGCAAGCCAATGCAGTGAGCACATACCCATTGTATCGGCACCATACCAAGCAGGCTTCCCAATACCACAGTTCCTCCAAAAAGCACGCTCTAGCTTGTAGCAAAACTCAGGTGTATAGTCCTCCGCAGAAGTGCCTTGTGGGTGCCAATCCAGATGCGGGTTGAAAGTTTCCATGAACGTGGCGTCCTTGTCAGCACGCTCGATGCGGCGGTTTCGAGCCTTGTTGTTGCTCGCAGATGTCGAAGGAATGGCGTCTTCGGGATCAGGAGATGCGCTGTTCGGCGGAGACGCAATGGAGCCTGGTACTTGCGCATCTTCCTCCTCCTCCTCCCTTATAGGAACAGCCGGTTTCTTCTTCTTTCGACTCGGAAGTGGAGCGCGCGCACTCGGGTTGTTGTGTAATCCGACCTGCTCGACGCTGGGCGCCCGAAAATCATCCTTCGCACATAGCTCCGCCCACTCGCGCACACTCATTTCTTTCCTCTTCTCCATATTCTCCTGACGGAAGAGACCCCCACGTCCACGCATGAACTGTTCGATAGGACTCTTAATCTTCACGTTTGCAAGCTGGGGCTTGATGTCGGGTAGCGCGTCGGTCCATTCCTTCGGAGGTATCACCTTGACGATGCCTGCTCGCCGGCCCCATGCCTCGACACGAGTCATGTAGTGTTCGAAATCGGCAAACTCCCGCATGGTCGGTTTGAAGACGGGGATTCCGCGATTTGCGAGAGGGTCATCATCTGGAGATAGATACGTCTTCACTTCTGAATGAGGCGACGGAAGGTGGGAGGGGTCGGCGCCATAAAAGTGGTCGGGCTGAGCTAATGGCTCTGGCGACGGTTCTAGCGACGGCGACCGTGACGCCGTAAGAGACGACACGGGTGAAGCCATGGTGAAGAAAAGAGAGGGCACAATGGCTGGTGGGCTAATGACAGATTCGGCTCTCGGGCGCCGTCACGAGTCGCCATCGGCCTCGTGACTCGACCTGCCCAGGCCTGTTTCTAGCCAGAGTCTCAGCGCAACTGGACTCATGTTTTGCTCTGCTCGGATCGCTATCGTAAATGGACTCGAATCACACAGAAACTTTCGCTGCAAGGAACTCGCTCCACTCTTTCTCTCCCCATGAACTAGAGATCGCATTCTCCACCAATCCATCCCACAAAACGGTCGGCGAGACATGAATGCCGTTTTGACGCGAAAACTTGACTGTGTGAAGACCATCAGCTCTCACCCACATCGAAAGGACAAGTCGTTGCACGCACTGGTGTACTTGAGGTCATTTGTAACCGCGTTTCCGCCATTGGGAGTGTCTTTGAGCTTCAACGACTCGGCAAACTCGCTCCTCGCTCCAGCCGGGATTACTTCAGCAGCGAGGGCGGCGAGCTTCTCTCTAATTTGTATAGGCGTGAGAGTTGAGGATGGGATGTCGAAGTATTCGCCTTGGCGTTTGAAGAGGAGGACGGAGAATGGCCAGAACGAGTTTGGAGCGGTGTGCGCGACCTGTCTAGAATGAAGAGGATTGAATGAATCAATTGGAGGGGGACATACGGCGAGACTGGCTTCGTGCACAAGGGTGGACGTCGAGTGCCAGGGTTGGACCTGGTTGCGGAAGATCGCTTTGACTTTTCCGTGGTATTTGCCCCCAGGCCCGAGCATGGGAATGAGAACACTGTCGATGGCGAGAGAGATCTTTGCACTTTAGATCACATCAGATAGAGACGCAGACTCCAAGTCCTCGATCCACTCGCCTGAAGGGACAGACGTAGTCCACTGCGATGGCGATGAGCATTGGCAGCGCCAGAAAGGGTACGGTCCAACTCACAGAAGATGTCGAGCGTATGGGGCGCTTCAGCAGTCCCGGCAATGATCAAAGGGCGAAGGCTAGCTTGCAAGGCCATGTTCGGCGTTGCAGAATAAGATTGAGAGGACAGATGACGCCATCAACAACTGCTTTATGTTCCCCGGAGCATCTTCTCTGACTTCCGATCCGTCGGTTACGATAAGATAGGTGTCTGATGCGCTACGTGTGCAGTATGACCATTACTAAAGACTCGGTCATTCATGTTGTGTATGTATTTACTGATCTCGCAGTAGTCGAAACCCTTCCAAAAAGCACAATGTCGTCGTCTGGAGCAATGAGCGCTGTCAGGGTTTCAAGAACGATGATGATAACGCCGTTGCTGTTATCAGTGCATATTGGAACGGTCTTCCAGTTGTCTTCAGCCTCTCGACCCGGTTACTTTTGCACTTCTTGATTTATCTAATCGAAACCTGGATTAGTTGAAGCCCAAGTTTTTGGGAAGCGGACTAGCCTGGTCTGGGTTGCAATAATGGTTGTCGAGACCGCACCAGTCTACTCAATGCGGACGCAACTCGCGATCAAGGCATGACATAAGCACACAATTCTGTCTCGCACGTCAATTTCTTGTCCGGGACGCGTCTTTTGGCCCTCTACTTTGCCCAGGACTACTTCGCTCGCCCGAATTCGCATGCCGCTCGACTTCTCGACGTTCTTGACGCAAATCAATGACGCACTGAACAACGAGAATGGCCCCAATCTAGCCTACCTACTCCACCCGGGTAGTCCACATGGCAAGGACCTCGTGAAGAGTTTCAGGTCACCCAGTGTGCGTATGCGACTCTCCTCGCTAGCAAAACTGAGCCGTGCGCATTTCTCAGGCCGCGTCGCTCGCGCATTACAAGGGGAGCATCGTCAGTCCCTGGGACGACATCGCCATTCAATATGTCCTGACCTGCTCGCACATCGCGCGAGACAGAAGGGTGGACGCGTTTAAGGAGCATTCTCAGCTCGTTTCGTGAGTGTCAACCTAACGTAGGCGATGGCTTCCCTCATCTCGCTGTCGCCAGTCACTTTTTCCGCTTCTTCACAGAAAACCGGGGATGGACACTTCCGGCCTTGTTCTCGATCCTTCGGGACGTCCGAGATACCGCCTACGATGTATGCACGGAAACGAGATCCTTCACTGTGCCACGCTGAATCTCGTAGGCGGACTGGTATGCGAGAGTGCATAACCAGAACGGCGAGTGTTTGGAAGAAGCTGCTCGAACGGTGGCAAAGGCATTCTCGAATTGCGTGGTGGATAGGTGTGTAGTATGGTTGCGCTTGTGGCTTTGCAAGTATACTGACCAGTCAGGACAGGATGTCACCTCCCGAAGAATCGAGGAAATGGGGCGTTTATTATGTCGCTGGGCTTGCGATGAAGTGTTACTTCAGAGTATGCTTTCCTTCACATCGGCTGCCTACATCCGCTTACATTGCCAAGGTTAAACATATCTCGCTCACGAAAAACATCATCAAAGCACTCAATAACACACCCGACATCCCTCCGCTGCAGAGGTATCCACGTTCTCATCAGGTGACATATCGATACTTTCTAGGCATGCTGGGCTTCTTGAATGAGGAATACGCGGAAGCAGAGAGAGAATTGACCTTTGCGTTCTACAACTGTGCCATTGAGGCTCCAGAGAATCAGACGCGAGTGAACTTTCATCTGCCTATCGATCCTCGTCCGCTCAGCTCAGAACAGGCGAATCCTGGCATATCTCATTCCTCTTCGGATTCTTCGCGGGCACTTGCCATCGGACGTGCTCCTTCAACGGTTCCCGGTTCTTGCCGACATCTTTTCGCCATTCATATCAGCAATCCGCGCGTCAGACATCTCAGCATTCGATCGTGCACTCGAGCTGCGAGAGACTCGTCTGATTGAGCTGAATTTGCTCCTTGCACTGGAAAGAGCGCGGGAGCTATGTGTCAGAGGGCTGTTCCGCAAAGCGTCCGTTTCCGTCTCTCCTTCATTTTTCACGGCTAATGGCTGATTAGATGGATTGTATCGGAAAAGAGCACGCGGATGCCTATCGCACTGTTTCACTCGGCATTGGAGGTCTCCGGAATCACGGTGGACGTTGAGGAAGCGGAATGCCTTGTTGCAAACATGATATATAAAGGGTACATGAGGGGGTACATCAGTCACGAGAAGCAGATGGTAGTCCTGGCTGCTGCCAATGCTTTCCCCTCTGTCGCAGAGCGTCCTTCCCCCTACAATGCATTATGACTTGCATGCCCTCATACCACGGTATATCTCCTTGGTGGCCTGCGCTGTCAAACAACCCTCGAACAATGAATATGCAAGTTTCGAGGGTAGGGGAGTGCAGACGAGAGGGGCTCGAGCCCTAGGAAAATGCGGATGGGGGAGAGGTTCGAAGGCAAGTCTTTTTTTACCGCCAGCCTCCCACCGTGCGCATGCAAACTCGAAATCCTGCACTGGGTAATCACCAAATTGGCTTCAGGAAGCTCGTCACACGTAGTCGCTTTAATCGTGCTGCGCATACAGCCCATTGGTCATTTGCGCCGACCTGGCCCTACGCCACGCAGTCAGCGGGTACAATCCCTCGCTGCTACATTCTGGTACTTATCTCCCGTATGATGGATCACCCGGCAAGTTGGCCACCGGCAAGCGCATGCGCTCGTGGGATAATCTGCCATCTCCTCACCTTACGCCAATGCAGACGGACGCGAAATCGCACTTTGACCAGCTCCCGGGCGCGCATGGACCGTCGCCACGCAAGGCGCGATCTGGATGGGGCAGCTTGGCTGCCGTGGCGATCGTCGGGTCCATTGTCTTGTGGTGCAAGCCAAGCAGCCTGCTGGTGCTGCACGCGCACCCATCTGCAGTGCACCCACACTCTACTCCTCTCGCCCAGTGCCCGCAAGCCCAGCCCCTGGTTCCAACAACGCATACCGACCTGTGGACGACACTCACCGCACTGCACCACACCGACGCGTTCCAAATGCGGGCCGTTCAAGGACTAGGGGCGGCCGTGCGGATTCCGACGGAAACATTTGACGCGATGGGCCCAGTGGGTGAGGATCCAAGATGGTTGTCTCGCGCGCCTTTCTCGGGCCATCTCGAAGCGGCATACCCAAAGGCGTGCGTGTCGTTGGAATCTGATCTGTGGATTTTAGGCTGACACCGATCTATGTGCAGACACGCGACACTCTCACTGCAGCGAGTGAATACTTATGGATTGGTGTACACCTGGACGGGTTCGGACCCGAGTTTGAAGCCGTTGCTGCTTATGGGACATTATGGTGCGTGGAAGCAGAGAGAAGGCTTTCGATTACTGACTACTCTGAAATATCCAGATGTCGTCCCGGTTGCTCCATTGAGTGTCGATCAGTGGACGCACCCAGCATACTCAGGCTACTTCGACGGTGAATCTGTCTGGGGCAGGGGTAGCTCGGACGACAAGAGCGGCGTCATCGGCATCATGTGAGTGCGATCATTCCCCTCAGTTTTCGCTGTTCATTCGCTGTAGGACCACTATAGAGACGTTGCTCGAGCATGGTTTCGTGCCTAGACGTTCGATCGTGCTCTCTTTTGGCTTTGACGAGGAGGCCGGCGGTATCCATGTAGGCAGACCCTCGTAATGAGGAATCTGTTCTCTCATCCTTCGTCCAGGGAGCAGGCCATCTTGGCCCGGCTTTGCTCGAGCTCTACGGCCCGGATTCTTTTGCGATGATCGTCGATGAAGGGTGTACGTATCACTGCCAACCCTTGCGCCACAACTGAATCGATGCACCAGCCGGCTTCAGCGACCAGTATGGTGCCATATTTGCTGTTCCCGGGGTCGCCGAGAAGGGCTCCATCACTGTTGAACTGGAAGTGAAAACCCCTGGTGGTCATTCGAGTGTGCCACCTGAACACACGAGCATCGGCGTCCTCGCTGCGCTCATCGTCGAATTGGAAAACAATCCACCTCCGGCCAAGTTTGAGACGGACAGCACGTTCTTCCAGATGACGGCGTGCTATGCTTCCCACGGACCCGACATCGACACCGACTTGCGAGCAGCGATATTGGCGTCACCCAGCAATGAGTCCGCCCGTGCAGAAGCGGAACGGATCCTGTCCAAGAACAAAACTTTCCGGTCGCTATTTGGGACAACGCAAGCGGTGGATATCGTGAGCGGAGGTGTGAAAAGCAATGCCCTACCCGAGCAGGCTGTCGTGAGTGGACGGTTACGCCAAGTATTCCCGGCGCCTCACCTTGCTTGATAGGCTTATATCAACCACCGCATTTCAACGAAAAGGTTTGTCTGTCTGTCTAACTTTGCCTAGTAGAAGAACTGAGGCCACCTCAGCTCTGTCGCCGAAACCGTCGACAGAGACCGTACTATCCTTGCTCCGGTGATCGAGAAGTACGATCTGGGCGGGGGTTCGGTCGAGCTTCGATCCCCTGGGGGTCTTGAGCCCGCGCCAATTACACCCTCTGACGGTGCAGCTTTCGAACTGCTCTCAGGAACCATTCGAGCCGCCTTTCTCAAATGGCATGATGGCGAGATCTACGTCGCGCCCGGGATGATGACGGGGAATACCGGTACGTGCTTGCGGGTTCTCTCTGGCTAGTTCTCCTGTTGACCGACTGGTAGATACGCGGTTCTATTGGGATCTTTCGAAACACATTTTCCGGTATGGGCATAACAATGGTATTGGAAAGGGCGATAATGGGATGGGAGGCATTCACACTGTGAATGAACGTGCGTATAAATCATTCATGTGCTGCATCCGTTTTTGACAAAGTCACAGATATGTCTGCCTCTGCCTTCATTGAGATGATAACATTCTTCACCACGCTGGTTCTCAATCTTGACGAGGCAGCGTTATGATTCATTTAGTGACCGCTCTTCTACATATGAAATAGTAATAGTACATAGGCTACACCCCCCCCTGCAGCCTTCCCTCTTGTTTAGGCCGCCCAAGGCCACTAAAAAATCTGGAAAAATGCGCAAATAGTTGCTAGGGTCCTGGGTAAGATGGCGCATACTGGCGTCCCCACTCCGGCCAATGGTGCATATCCCATATCGAAATCCGTGGAGGGTCTCAAAATGATCACTTCCCATCAGAGCTTTTGATGGGACGGGGACGCAGAATGTAGTCTACACAACATTTGTGTTTTTATTACATGGGTCGTTAGCTGCATACTTAAGGATATAGGATCTCGAGTTATACATTTTTATCTTCAGCGGTTCTTTCAAAATATCATGATCTCTCCGTGCAGCCATCACTTGCAGCCGTCAGCTCTACATATGGGGACGCAGGGGGTCTATGGTCTATCTGAAACAGCAAAAAGTGCCTAGAGAACCGTATGATACAAATAGACTACTCAAAACAATATATATACTACGTTGTGGAAGGTACGAGACAAGATAACCTCGTCAAACATCTCTTGAGTCACGTCTTGTGACCACCGTCACGTCAGCTTGTGCGATCATTGCTCTGCTCATACATCTGACCAGGCAACCGCGGCCAGCGACGAACGGGTGTGGGGTGGATGGGCTAGTGCAGCAGAGGGTATAGGGCGAGTGGAGGGAGGGTTTCATGGAAAGGATGGCGGGGTCGACAGGTGAGTGCCCACCATGCAATCTGACCCAGCCCTCAGATCACCAACCAACGCGAAGCCTCGAGCAGACGCGCATACACCTCACCCCTGCCCCATTCGATCGACGCGAGCGCTCATGCCTACGAGAGCGCCCCTAGCGTACATGTAAACATGATAGCGCTCCAATATATGTCTTCTACGGCTACCTGGTTCACGCTCGGCGCTGTCTCGTTTGCCCCGGTCTTCTCGGTCAGCCACCCTGGACACTTTCCCACCAGAACGACTCAACAGCGGGCTCCGCATGCGCCGAAAATTTGAGCCACGGCGTCACCTCACATTTGCGCATTATGGTGTCTGCGGCATCGCTCAGATAGTGCAGCTGTCCGATCACCTCTCCAATTCATCTATTGCGCACCCTCAACAAGCTAGGGTTATTAGAAGTGGTCTAGGGTCGATTCCCTAGGCCAGTCCTAACCCCACGGCTGGGTTACCCTGGGCCAGGGAAGCCCTTTAGGGTTACGCTTGGACCAGATGTTGGCCTGGAGCGGAGTAATTTATGGGTTGCATGACATGGAACAATCAATCAAATGTTTGGGATCAAACCATGCGTGAGAGGTGGAAACGGTTGATTGGAAACAGCTTGACAGCGCTTGATTGATGTAGGATGTGATGCGGTGAATGGAGGTAGCAACCTGTCGTGATGGTGGGAACAGGCAGCTTACGAGTGATAGTGATAGGCAACATGCGCTGCTGGACAGAAGCCGGACACTCCAAAGGGCACCATGTTATGATAGGGTGTAGTCATCGGGTGTCTCCATTGTCACGACACTCTGATGGAGTGCATGTGCCTGTCTACCAGACTCTAATCGAGAAGTGGTAGGGTGGTCAGACGAGTATAGGACTGGGTTGCCACTGTCTCCATTGTCACGACACTCCAATGACATGGGGGTGCCCATCCACCAGACACCAATGAAGAAGTGGCTGGGTGGTCAGATGAGTATGGGACTGGGTTGCCACTGTCTCTATTGTCACGACATGCAGGGATGTTCAGAAGGGATGATCCAGATCTGGACTTACGACAAGGATGTCAAAGGAAATCAGGCGTAATTTGATTCAAGGGATGCGGTTACGTGTGTCTCCACTGTCATGACAGCTTGCAGAAGGGCTGCGTTCAGTGATGGAAAGGTGCAGTTGCGCTTGTCTCTACTGTCACGACACTTCTGAAACGCATTAGAGACATGTAGAAAGCACCGGGTATGAAAAATGACCGAGGGAGAGGTTGAAGTACTGATGAGTCAGTGTAGACTCCGGTTTTTGAGTAGTTTCTGTGCCCGATCTCTGGTCGCGCTGAATCTCGTGAGAAAGAAGATTAAGGGTGTGTCACGTGAGATGAATGGTGACAAATGGATCAGAGATGGACTGTGACGTGACAAATACACTCTTGCTCTTAACCACCACCTTCCTAATTTGTATAAGTACAGCCACAGTGAGAACTTCCCGCACACGCGTATCTCCAACGTCACGACAAATTTCAGAAGATGACCCCAAGACTTGACCCGGCTGTGAAAGCCCAACGCCGAGCGCAGCGAGATGCTGCGAAAGCGGCTGAGAATGCCGCCAAGTCTGGCCCACCGGCCAAAAAGCAAAAAACAGGGAAGGCTGCGCATGACCCTCCTGTTCCAGACCCGCCGGAAGAAGAACGGCCTGCGCCCAAGAAACGCAAGGGGAAGGGCAGATCGAAGGTTGTGCCTGATCCACCCGAGTCGGACTCATCTGAAGATGAAGAGCCTGCTCCCAAGAGACGGAAGGGGAAGGGCACAGCGAAGACCGTGCCCGAGCCACCCGAGTCGGACCCACCGCAAGAAGAAGAGCCTGTCCCCCAGAAACGCAAGGGCAAGGGCAAAACGAAGGTTGTGCCCGAGCCACCCGAGTCAGACACCCCGCAAGAAGAAGAACCTGCACCCAAGAAACGCAAGGGCAAGGGCAAAGGAGAGGCAGCGCCTGAGCCCGTAACCGACGACCCGATGGGAGGGGATTTGACGGCGCTTTCCGGTAAGAAAACCGGAACGATGAAAGATAAGTCTAACGACGAGCGAAAAGAGGACGAGGTAGGGGCAGGGCCAGTGCCGCAGCTGACTGACGGTTTGGGGACCGCAAGCCAGGAAGGCCCGAGGAAGCAGCTGATCACCCGAGCAATGAAGCCCAAGCCCAAACGTGAGTGCGAGAAACAGGGGAACAATGGGCTGAATGTTCGTAGCCAAGAAGAAGAATGCGAAGGTTGTAGCCCAAGCGGCGCCACAAATTGAAGTCACCCCAACACCGCAGCCGGAGGCCAAGCTCCCACCGAGTGCTAAGAAGATTCCTCCCGCGCCGACCCCCATCCCCCAAGCAGCCCCAACGGCTAGTAATAGTACATAGGCTACACCCCCCCCTGCAGCCTTCCCTCTTGTTTAGGCCGCCCAAGGCCACTAAAAAATCTGGAAAAATGCGCAAATAGTTGCTAGGGTCCTGGGTAAGATGGCGCATACTGGCGTCCCCACTCCGGCCAATGGTGCATATCCCATATCGAAATCCGTGGAGGGTCTCAAAATGATCACTTCCCATCAGAGCTTTTGATGGGAGGGGGACGCAGAATGTAGTCTACACAACATTTGTGTTTTTATTACATGGGTCGTTAGCTGCATACTTAAGGATATAGGATCTCGAGTTATACATTTTTATCTTCAGCGGTTCTTTCAAAATATCATGATCTCTCCGTGCAGCCATCACTTGCAGCCGTCAGCTCTACATATGGGGACGCAGGGGGTCTATGGTCTATCTGAAACAGCAAAAAGTGCCTAGAGAACCGTATGATACAAATAGACTACTCAAAACAATATATATACTACGTTGTGGAAGGTACGAGACAAGATAACCTCGTCAAACATCTCTTGAGTCACGTCTTGTGACCACCGTCACGTCAGCTTGTGCGATCATTGCTCTGCTCATACATCTGACCAGGCAACCGCGGCCAGCGACGAACGGGTGTGGGGTGGATGGGCTAGTGCAGCAGAGGGTATAGGGCGAGTGGAGGGAGGGTTTCATGGAAAGGATGGCGGGGTCGACAGGTGAGTGCCCACCATGCAATCTGACCCAGCCCTCAGATCCTGAACCAACACGACGCCCCCAGCGGACACGTATACACCTCACCCCCGCCTCATTCGATCGACACGAGCGCTCATTCCCACGAGGGCGCTCCTAGCGTACATGTAAATATGATAGCGCTCGAATACATGTCTTCTACGGCTACCTGCTTTGCGCTCGGCACTGTCTCGTCTGCCTCGGTCTTCCCAGTCAGCCACCCGGGACACTTTCCCACCAGAAAGACTCGACAGCAGGCTTCGCATGCACTAAAATTGGAGCCACGGCGTCACCTCACGTTTGCACATTGTGGTGTCTGCGGCATCGCTCAGATAGTGCAGCTGTCCGATCACCTCTCCAATTCATCTATTGCGCACCCTCAACAAGCTACTTGTCACAAACGAATTGTGCAAAACGACAAAGAGACCCGAAGATCTAGAACCCAGATGCAGGAGAGCAAAGGAGTGCAATGGATGAGTGGGCAGAGCACAGGGAGAGGCAGGCTCAAAGGTGCACTCAATGTATGCCCCGAAATTGGACATTTGGGCTCACCTCTCTCAACACACCACACTTTTCGTGGCATCGCACAGCAGCACCGCTGCTCGATCACCTCACTGGGAGCTGCGAACGACCGCCGAAGCTGTATTTGGATGCTTCGAGGGTAATCTCAGTCCATATTGACTTAGGGATCTTTTTGCTCTCAAACACATTTGCCTTTGTAAGTCCCACCCCTTTGATCGCACATGCTGCCAGTGGTCTGAGCTCAACGGTGCAGACTCCCACACCGCTCACGTATGCGAACCGGCCATTCAGGTGCGAGGAGTACTACAAAACGCACCCACCATATGAGGGCAATGGCGACGCGTGCGCAGTGCCCACGATCGAGGCGATTGGCGACAGTGCAGCTCGGCGGTCAGATTTGGGTCATCGGGTCAATTTTACAATGTGCTTCGATTGTGCGTGCATCCGCGCTTCTGTGCATGTACTCATCCTGACTTTAGTCGACTAGGACCGTGGGACGCTCGTGGTTGGCTGTATCGTTTCTGGTATCTCTGTCTGTCTCGCCCGTTGTGCCGATCTACCAAGCTGAAGTCACCGCACCTCATCTCTGAGGACAGCTGATCTTCACTCCCGCCCCATTCACTCGACTCGAGAGTTCATGCGCGCAATGGCGCATATGGCTCACCTGTCCACAGAATAGCTCTTGGGCACATGTCAACGTCTCGAGCATGTGCGTGCATCCTGTGCCCAAATCCAAACGCGCAACCTCACATCACGCAGCACGTCTTCTATCTATGTCATCACACACACCGCGCAACTGGCGACACCTCACTGCAAGCTAACCACCCATCTCCCAGTCTCTCCATTCGGAGCTGCCAGAACCACTCAAAGATGTGTTAATTCTGTTTGCGCACTCGAACGCGCGGCCTCATATCGCAGGGCGCCTCTAGCTATCTGCGGCATCACACACGCGCGCAGCTATACAGTCATCTCCCACTTGCACCGATCGCACACCTCGCAACGACCGACTCTTGGAGACCGGCAAACAGAACCAGGATATAGATCTCAGGTGCTTGGGACAGGGAATTCGATGCGCGAATGGGCGGAGCGCATTGAAGTCAATGGGGGCTCGATCTGCCGGTGCGTTTCTTCTCACCGCCTACCTCTCACTATCCGCTCTAGCTTCTGCTGTCCGCCATCTCGAAATATTGCACCGCGAGGGGCGTTCATCGTGCATCTCGGAACCGGACGCGGGCCTGCCTCGTGTACACTCAGCGCCGACTGTAGCATCACCATGCTGCGCAGCTCCATCACGACTATTGACGCTTTCTTTTGACGCTCACGATGACGACGTACACCCCACAATGTCCTCTGCCATCCTCAATCTCAAATTCAAGGTCCGTGTTTTGCCCGTTGGACACGTCGCACGCTGATTGTGGCCCGTCGTCTCTTGCTTCCTTTTTGGGACTGTACTCACTTTGCCGCTCTCCACTCGCCCCCAACGACTCCATCAACGTCCACGAAACCGTCCGCCTCCTACCTCTCGCCTTCCTTTCCCCTCTGGTTCTTCTTAGCCTGGCGACATTCGATTGTGATGTCCTTTCTTCTGCAAACTAGAGCCATAAGTCCTTTGTCCCTTTCAGCAACGTCGACGATGCGGAGAGTCTAACCAAGATGTGGAAGGTGCGCATTATCGCGCCATTGTGTTGCCTGCTCATATGCGCCAGGTGACCGACACTGCTGAGGCCGGTGTGACGAACGAGTACCGCGCCGCGACGAAGAGCGGTCTGATGTCTGCAACGGAGGATCTGCGGCCCTCACCTGCACACACGGCCGCGCTGCTCCAGTTCGGCGACGTTTACACGCGTGAAATGGGCTACTCACTCA